CTCCATGAGCTTGTCGAAGTGGTCGGGCTGGCCCTGCTGGGGCTGCTTGCTTGCATGATCGGTCGCGGTGACCAAAGCGGAGTTGGTCGATCGGCGCCGATCCTTCTTGTTCTTTTTGCCCCTTTGCATGGAGGGCCCCTCGTCTTGGTCCTCACGCTTGGCCTTGCCCTTGTCCCAGCCTACACTAAAGGCCGCTCTAACCGCCTCCTTGCCAGAGGTGTGGTTCATGGCGACGTCGAGCAGGTCGTGGGTGGTACAGGGCTTCATACAGCCGAGCTTGTGGATCAAGGACTCACAAGTTGTCCTAGAGAGGAACGCGTTGATGACGTCCACATCGATGACATCAGAAAGGGAGTTGCATCATTTTGAGAACCTATGGATGTAATCCCACAGGGACTCATTAGGCTCCTGCTGGTAGCTCTTGAGGTCCCAGGAATTCCTAGGACGGATATACGTTCCCTGGAAATTCCTAATGAAGATCCTCTTGAGATCTATCTAGTCGCGGATGCTGTCAGGCGGGAGGAATTCGAGCCATGCTCGAACATGCTCCCCCATGTAGATGGGGAGATATTGAATGATGAAGTGGTCATCATCCACTACTTTGGCTCGACAGACGAGCCGAAAGTCTTCGAACCATATACCGGGATTCGTTTCCTCGGTGTATTTGGCGATGTTGCTAGGTGGTCAGAAGCGCTGTGGGAACGACGCTTTCTGGATGCGACGGCCAAAGGCCCGTGGTCCTGGGCCGTCCGGGCTAGGACTCTGGACGTCCGGTCGATGACCAAGCCAAGGGTGCGTTTCCCCGCTCCCCTCAATGGTCCGACTGGGGCCCATGCCGCCTGCCCTCACCGCCCCTTGATGGTCGTCATCATCACCCTAGGCTTGACGCCGATTGTTGATGACGCTGCGAGCGTCTTGGTTTGGCCTGAGCCGTTCGCGCATAGGTGGTCAGTGTGGAGCGGGCATCGAGTCAGGCCATGGTGTAGCTACGTCCACCTGTTCCACGCCCGGCGACTGTAGTGGTGAGTGGATAGAGTGATTCGACTGGTGCGCCTCCATTCCCTCGGTAGGGGAAGAGGCCTCGACTGGTGCGCCACATGCATCTCTGCCTGTTGAACGGCGGCGGTTTCCACCAGCACCTAGAGGTTCTAGTGGATCGCCTACTCCTGGGGGTCGATAGGCTCGGGAACACCGCGCAGAAGCATCGCCGCAGTGGCGATGTTCTAGCCAGGCCGAGCGAACTATGGGAGATTATTTTCTCCGTCCATGATGTTACGCTGGACCTAGCAGGTGCAACCTCAGGCGCTGCTCGCCAGGTTACGCGCGTGTGGCACAGCGTGCTGCGCCGAGCGCATCGGCGCAGGTGGCGGCTTGCTCTGTCGTCGTTGTCGTAACTCCTCGTCGTGCTCCTACGCGCACGAGGGCCTCCGCACGAGGGTCCGGAGGGTGTGAGTCTGTAGAGACTCCGCTATCACCGGTCACTGTCCTGAAGCATCTGCCATAGCGCACTCCTAGGACAGAGGGTGGCTAGGTGCCATGACATCGCCAATGCTAGAGCCGTCGCTTTCAACCTCGTCATCCATGAGGTCATGGAAAGAGGTGAGAGCGTAGCCCGCTATCCCCATGAATTCGGATGTGAGAGGGGGCGAAGTCAGCATCTTTCGGAGCCCTCATGCATCTGCGTCCATGTCTGCAGGGGACGCGAGGCCGTAGGGGAACCGGTCGCACGGTGGTTGCGGTGAGGACAACGGGGTCCCTCTGGAGAGTCGGCGGAAGATATTAAATAGAGAGTAAAGAACAATATATACGTTACTCAAAGTGGGGTTTGAGCCCAGCGTGGGCTCAGAGCGAAGCGCAGGTGTCTCGTTATTGAGGTCGTCGGGTGGCCCAGAGCCGGCGGAGGGCGCTCCTCCTCTGACGGGCGTCGGGACAAGTGCCTCCTTGCGTAGGCGAAGTACGCCGAGCTGGTCGGCGATGAAGTCTAGGCTTCCAAAGATGAAGGTCTGGGATGGCTCAAAGATAGGAGGAACCCACATCCTAACAGGTGGGAGTGTGGGAAACTCTAGCGAGCCAAAGCGAATCATATCGCTTGAGCCTGTCATGACGAAGATGGCAGAAAGGTGGGCCATCTGATGACCAAAGACGTGAACGTACGGTGTTCTCCTCACGGACGGCGCCAACTGTCGGTGCAAAAAGTGACCAACAAGTAAATATTTATAGTTTTGCTGTATGTTGTGATCGGATGTGGCCTAGCACTCAATGACATAGGGTTTATACTGGTTCAGACAACGTACCCTACGTCTAGTTTTAGTCAGTCGGTGACTTTATTTCTTAGCCCAGGTGCTCGAAGTTTGCAGTGGGGTTACAAACGAGTGGGAATGAGAAGGGGTGTTAAAGGTCCGGTCAGGCTCCGAACCGAAGGACCAAGAGTGACGGGAGCTTCAACGTGCGCTAAGTATCAGAACGTTCTATGTAGCTTTAGAGTTCTAAAGCTATGGAGCTATTCGAGTGCTCATAATGTCTAAGCTAAGCGGAGAAAGAGTCAGAAAAATGACCGTCCTTTTAGGAGAAAGCGTATCTCCTTTTATAGATGAAGGGGACGACCTTACAAGTTAGAAGAGAGAGAGAGAGAGTGTGTGTTTTCTAGTCTTGTTGCCCACGTCGTCGGGTACAAGATAGTTTGTCGACGCCCACAATACTGTTGACGCCTAGATGCATGTGGCAAGCTCCATCGTGTTTTCTGGTATGGCAAATATTGGCGTCTACCATACTATCGGACAAATGTCGACGCCCACAACACTGTTCGTGTTGTGACATGTTAGAAAGGTTGCAAAGCATCCTTCTGGCATGGCATGGCGGTACTATCCTGCAGGTGTGTAGGGTACAGTCCGCGGTATTGTGGTTGACTTGAGCGCCTTGCCTTATCTGCTCCGCCTACCTCTTGGGTCCTTACCGAACGGGCGTCCCCGGTAGGTCGTTCCTAGTCGACTTCGACCGCGTCGGTCGGAGAAGAGCCGTAAGCAGAGGTTCGGTGTATTCCCGGTCGGAAAAAGCGGGTCGGGGTCGGAAGCGAGCGTCGTCCCCTTCTTGGTTAGGCCTTCCGGTCGAAAACTGGATCGCTCTTCCGGTCTGTCGTTAGGTATCTGGGATGGCCCAGGAGTCGCGCGTCGTTGTAATGCCGTCTGCGGGGCCGAGTTTTTACTGGAAAGTGGGTCCATCGGAGACCCTGGGTTTATGAACCCGACAGTAACCGTATTCTCTCGCCATATTTTCTTGTACCTAAAAAAGGGTATTTTTCTCTTTAACTAATTATCAAGCATGTGTGACACGCACTAGAAAAGATTTTTATGAGGCGTTAAGCTCAAGTACATAATTAATACACTGCTAAAACTTTATATTATTATTTAGCATCTTAATGATCTCAAATAGAAAAATTAAACTATAAAGTTGTAGGTCTTATCGAACTTTCAGGTGGTGAACTAGACTCAACTCTGCCCCAGGAAGCTCAATAATTTATTTGATCTAAATTTATTTGGGTAGAATTTGAATTGTGAACTCGAACTTATCACGTACCACTACAGTGTCACATGGGAATTTAACACTTTTTCAAATTTGTTTTAAACATGCCTAGCCACGTCGCGCGTCCAAGATAACGACCTCATATGAAAAAACTAAAAACTATATATAAAGTTGTAGATCCCATCAAGAGTTACAACTTTTATGTAAAAAATATCTTTATTTGACACCATATAAGAAAGATATGATTTTTCAAGACGACGAGTGCTGGTACGCGATTAATATGATGCTAAAACTTTATATTATTTTTCAAGCATCTTAATGATCTTAAATGTAAAACCTAAAAATATAAATTTGTAGATTTCACCGAGAGCTATAACTTTCATATAGAAAATATCTTCATTTGACACCATATAAAAAATATATGATTTTTCCAAGACGACGAGTGCTTGTATGTGATTAATACAATGCTGAAATTTTATATTATTTTTTGAGTATTTTCATGATCTCAAATGAAAAAACTCAAAACTATAAATTTGTAGATCTCACTGAGAGCTATAACTTTCATATAGAAAGAATCTCCATTTGACACTATATAAGAAAGATATGATTTTTCCAAGACGACGAGCGCTTATACGCGATTAAATGATGTTGAAACTTTATAATATTTTTCTTGAACATCTTAATGATCTCAGATGCAAAAACTCAAAACTACAAATTTGTAGATCACATCAAGGGCTACAATTTTCATATAGAAAGCATCTCCATTTGACACCATATAAGAACGATATGATTTTTCCAAGACGACAGTGCTTGTACGCGATTAATATACTGCTAAAATTTTGTTTAATTTTTTTAGCATCTTAACCACCTTAAATGAAAAATCTCAAAACTAGAAAGTTGTAGATCTTGTGGAGAGCTATAATTTTCATATAAAGATCATCTTCATCCGAGATCGTATGAAAAAGATACAATTTTTCTAAGATTACACGTTGACGCTCTAGTCTGGATGGCGCGGCGCTACAGTCAAGTATTTTCACGTTAAAATCGTTGTCTGGTATGGCAGATCGTGCCGCGCCGATGCATGTGGCGCGGCAACGTGTTTTAGTCGTGCCGTGGACTTTGGCGTGGCCAAAAATGTTACATTTGAAAATAAAAAAAACATCCGTGTTAGATATGGAATCTGTTTAAATAAAAGGTTAAAAATAAAATAAAAAAACGCCAGTCCAGTAGTCCACGCCTCCACGGACCACACGACCAGCGGCAGACGGCACCCGCACGTAGGCAGTAGTCACGCACACGCCGCCACGGCTCAGCCACGACTCCAAAAACAGCCGTCCACGTCGCTTCCCCGGTCCGCCGGCCACGCCCGCCGTTTTATACGCGACCTGGCGGCCGCACCCGGGTTGCGCACGCTGTTCCCCACGCCCCCCGCTCTCGGTTCCCTCGCCCCGCACCAGGCACGCTCACGCGCCGCGCACCGGATGGCCCCTGCTAACGTGCGCACGGCGCAGGCCCCCAGCGCCGACCGCAGGTTAAGGACGCTGGTGCGCCACCTGCTGCCTTCCTCCCCACGAAGAGCAGCAGCAGCAGCAGCCGACACCTCCGCCACCCTCGAATCGTTCCCCACCATGGCGTCGCAGGGATCCTCCGTCTTCGCCGCACTCGCGCAGGCCCCAGAGGACCCCATCCTCGGAGTAAGGCCGTCTCCCCAGCCTCGCCTCTCCTTCCTCGCTGTCGCTGTCGGTCGCGCGGTTTCGACGCGATCGCGCGGCCTCGTGGGTAGTGGGTTTGTTCTCGTTTATCGGTGTTCGTTTGTTTTCTGGGGCAGGTGACCGTCGCCTACAACAAGGATCCCAGCCCCGTAAAGGTCAACCTCGGCGTCGGCGCCTACCGGACCGAGGTGAGATGAGTTTGGGGATTTGCTGTGAACCTTCTATGGCGCTTTCTGTTTTTTATTATTTGGATTGGAGATGGATTTGACGCCCCTGTTCCTATTCTGATCTGTGCAGGAAGGGAAGCCCCTCGTGCTGAATGTGGTCAGGCGCGCCGAGCAAATGTTGATCAATAATCCGTAAGTGTTATGTGAAATCCATATGATCCGCTTGATTTCGTGATCGTGCCTCGGGGGTTATTGAACTTTCAGGCTTAAAGCTACTGCCCTCCGCCCAAGTGGAAACAAAATTGGATTTAGTTAGTCACTGGATCTAAAATCTGGATAACGCGCCTCTTAATCTGACTACTACTTTCATTCACCACCAGATTAATTATTGACTTGCCCTCTGTAATTGTAGGTGACCTTTCTGTTCTACGGTACATTTTGTTTCTATACTAGTTTTTAAAAATGAATTTTCTTCTACGATTGGAACTAGTATTTTTTTTCTTGCGACTGGGTCTGCTCTGTCCCACTGCCGTGTAAGATTCTCTTTCGTAGTCGACCTTGCAGTTGCTTCTATTGCTTTCCCTCCTTTCTTTTTGTGGTACCTGGGAAATTGACCTCAGTTTTGTCTGTGGGGGGAATGGTTTGTCGTTTGCAAGCACTGCAATGCTCCCTCTGTCCCTTTTTATAGTATTGTGTTGGTCAAACTTATGTTCGTGGAAAATATCTCCAAATAAGTTTATTATAAAAATAGAGTTAACGAGCTTTCTAATGATACTAACTATGTATCATAAATATTAATATTTTTTTATATATTTGGTCAAAGTTGAGGAGGTTTGACTTCTTGAGAAGCGAGAGTGGATAAAAGGAGGCGGAGGGAGTATTAGGTCAGTCTCAGCGGGGGTTTCATGTCTCGATTTTCAACCTACTCATAGTTTGGAAGCAGTGTAGAAGAGCGTGTAGAAGAGTTTTGTCCCCGTGAAACTGGCTCTACTCCCATGAAACTTTCAGCATCTCTCTCTTCATTAATAAAGTGCCATGTCATCGTATTTAATACCCATGAAACTCTATGAAACCCCATTGAGATTGGCCTTATGCCTCATGTGTGTATAAGCCTCTGCATGCGGTAAACTGTCGGTGTGGAAGATATTTGAAGCTGTATTTTAAACATGACTTTCTTCCTATTTCTAGGTCACGTGTCAAGGAGTACCTACCAATCACCGGTTTGGCTGAATTCAATAAGCTGAGCGCTAAGCTTATCTTTGGTGCTGACAGGTATTTTTCTGTTTGACTTTCATTTATTTTTCTAACATTGGCGATATTTGTGGTTCAACTGCTCCGAATGGTTATGTTGCTAACTGTGAATTCCTACTGCTGAAGTTTCATTACATAAAAATAAGTTCCCTGGCCACCGGTCATCTCAGGTTTTATTTAGGGAGCTGATTGTGTTTTTTCTTTACAAATGGAACAGTCCTGCTATTCAGGAGAATAGGGTTACTACAGTGCAGTGCCTATCGGGTACTGGTTCTTTAAGAGTTGGAGGTGAATTTCTTGCAAGGCACTATCATGAGGTTAAGAACTTTTCCTGCTCCTTTCTGTTTTGCTGCTTCCCGATTTTAATGCATGATTGCTAGATCATACAAATATATTCCAGCGCACTATCTACATCCCGCAACCAACCTGGGGAAATCACCCAAAAGTCTTCACCTTATCTGGATTGACTGTTAGGAGCTACCGCTACTATGATCCTGCAACCCGTGGTCTTGACTTCAAAGGTATGGATTTCATTTTTCATGCTAGATCTGTTAGAATGCTTTAATAATGCGAATATGCTAGGAACATTTAAAACTTTATTATATGTTTTATATTTGCAAATTATGTCATGGCTCTGCCATTGACCCAAATTTTGTTTTGTTTTACAGGACTCTTGGAAGACCTCAGTTCTGCTCCTTCAGGTTCAATTGTACTGCTGCATGCCTGTGCCCACAACCCTACTGGAGTAGATCCTACCATTGATCAGTGGGAACAGATTAGGCAGCTGATGAGATCAAAATCACTGCTTCCGTTCTTTGACAGTGCCTACCAAGTATGCCGACGTACAGAGTCAGAATTGACTTGACAGAGTCAGAATTGACTTGACATTGCAAAAACACATCTGATTCCTATACACTAATCATCACATTTGTTGATTTTTGTTAACATAATAGGGCTTTGCGAGTGGAAGTCTTGACAAAGATGCTCAGTCAGTGCGAATGTTTGTTGCTGATGGTGGTGAATTGCTCATGGCTCAGAGCTATGCTAAGAACATGGGATTGTACGGAGAGCGTGTTGGCGCTTTGAGCATTGTAAGATATCTTAACTCTTGCTCTTGTTGGTTTCACTTTAGTTCATCATGATCTCAAGGTTGTTGGCATCTTCCTCTGGTGTTCAGATATTACTATGTTTACCATCCATCTTGTGAGCTTAATGCTATAGGAGTGATTGATGTGTGGAAAATTCTGTCACATGCCTTCAAATGTGCCTCTTTATTTTCCTACTTGTTTTGAGATATGTCGGTTCCTATAGCTTGTATCTGTTTCATTATCGGAAATAAGAAGTGCATTGTTGTGGACGGTTTAAGTTGTCAATCACTTGTAGCCACTGGTGCCTAAAATTTTAGCCTTTTGCTAGGATTGAATTCTTTCGCATCCTTAGACTATTATATTGATGTAGATATGTATTAGCTTTTAATGTTACAGGGGACAACTATTTACTTCCACCAGTTCCAAAAATATTTGACTAGTTGTTACTTATAAGGATATGCATAACTTTATGACTTTGTTGAATGATGCTGCTGCTTTTCCTACATGGTGCCCTTCTGAACAGTCTTTTATGCCACAGAGTGTCCATTCATTGTAACTTCATGTTTCAGGTATGTGGAAGTGCCGATGTAGCTGTTAGGGTTGAAAGTCAACTCAAACTTGTGGTCAGGCCTATGTATTCAAACCCCCCTCTTCATGGTGCCTCTATCGTGGCTACCATACTCAGGGACAGGTATATTCTTGTTATTGCAGTGCTATATTTAGAGGTGGGTCCAAGAATAATACAAAGTGGTTACTTCCTGATCATTGACTGTATTTATTTAATTTTTCAGTGAGATGTTCAACGAATGGACTCTAGAACTGAAGGCCATGGCTGATAGGATCATTAGCATGAGGCAACAGCTATTTGATGCGCTGAAATCCAGAGGTACTTGTTTCTAGCAATTGCTCTCTCTTTTTCTACAAAATATGGTTAGATGTTGTTTGCAATGTAGCTTAGCATTTTTTCCTTACCATTTCTTTCATGATCTTGTATTGCAACTATGCAACTCTTGGTGCAAATGTTTTTCTTTTGTCCTGGATTAATGTGGCTGCTTCAAGGCAAGCTATGTAGCTATTGCTGCATCCAAGATCTCTTGGGTTATCAGAATCTAACAAAATAAGAGAACTTCCTCTTGTTACCTTCTCAGTTGATTTCTCAAGAAATTGTATCTGACCTTAAAATAGTGTATCAATCTGTGTGACTTACTTGGGGGAGCACTATTAATATGTGTTTGGAATGTTTCTATTGATTTATTCGAATTGAAAGGCCATAATGTTACATCTGGTTTGCACTAGTCCAGAAATTATGATAATTCAATCTCAATATATTGTTCCTTTCTTTTGTCTTTTGTTCAAGTGGAAAGGTTTTGGGTCCTATCACAATGGCACTCAGTCTTGTTAATAACGTGCAGGAACCCCTGGAGATTGGAGCCACATCATTAAGCAAATTGGGATGTTTACTTTCACTGGGCTGAATAGCGAGCAAGTGGCATTCATGAGGCAGGAATACCACATTTATATGACATCTGATGGGTAATTGTCTATTCAACTTTTATAAGTATATAGCTGTACTCTTGTATTTTTTTCGTCTTGTTACTACTTAACAGTGGCTGGCCACATTGGAGTTCTTATTATTCTATTTGCCTTTTTTTTTCTAATTCATAAGTTGGAGTATAGACCGTTTAGTCACTTGTTGTCTTAATATGTTACTCCCTCCATTTTTAAATATATGACATCTAGGAAAGCTAATATTTTTTGTTCGAACTGAGGTAAACCTATTTCCGCCATCACAACGGAAATACAAAAGTTTGTAGAAAAAGTAACATTGAACCAGAAGAAAAGGCCTAATGAGGGCTATGCCTAAGTGCCTAACTGGACTCAGGCTGTCAGACACAATCTCAGGTAAAGGGATACTAGGACAACTTCTACCATTTGCACAATGAAACAAAAGCACCAAAGCCTCCCAGGTGATAACATACATTCCCAACAAATCCTATTACAAAACGCTAGAAAGGCTGGAGACCTGCTGCCCAGTCTAGCAACATCGATTCATGGCAAGCAGCTTGCTGCCAAGTCTTCCCAATACCAGCCCTCCTCCCCTCAATTTGCAGGGTCGCCTGATCCATGTTTGATGGATTTCCCAGCAGTCTTGATGCCACCTGCAGCATGACGTTTCACACTTTCACCCCTTCGAGTAGCCTCTCTTGATCCTCCTTTAGAGTATAAACGTGTCAAATATTGCATAAGTGCACATGCATAACAAAGGTTCTCAATAGGTTTTTTAATCAATTTTCCTTCTTGTTCCTTGTTTTCCAAGTAGCCCAGCATATTGTTGCCAATCCCAGAGTGTAAGGCATTGAACCATTAGGAAAGCTAATATGACAAGCTAATTAGTTCAAAAATGAATTATTAGCTTGTCCTAAACATCATATTACTTTTAAGATCATATCATTGAACAATCTTGATCGGCACTATTTGATATTGATCTATGACTAGGTTTCGTTTTCTCACCACCCTATAATGGAAGTCCGAACTGTCACTGCTATATTGACAATGTATATATTCTTCTTGCAGGAGGATCAGCATGGCTGGTTTGAGCATGAGGACTGTGCCCGATCTTGCAGATGCCATACACGCTGTAGTTACTCAACTGAAATGAGGACAGTATGGCAGCTTTCGTGAATAAAATCTGAATCACCTACAACAATGTTCTAAGGACTCAGCCGGCGGTATTTACTGGCTGACCTACTGTAATCTGCCTTGAAATAGGAGTACGGTTTTTTACTCTGTTGTTGGAACAGTTTTGTACTGGCAGATTCAAATTCAAATATTATATGGTCATAAGGTGCTTTCGGAACTCCAAATAAATACGCGCATGCAATTTTGCTCCACCGGTGCTAAATGTTTATCCTACAACAACCTGCAGTAGTTTTGAAAGCTGGTCTTTGCCTACTGTATGGTTCCTCTGCTCATAAGCTTTCTAATTGTTGTATGTTACTGCTTGCTCTTCGTGACAGCCAAGGGTGAAAAATATGATTCTAGATTTTACTTCGTGCTTGCAGTACCTTGCGGTCGTTTATCGCAAATTCAAGCGAACTATGATCCCGCGGTCGTGGTCCATAAGCGTCCAAGAGTTTTTTTTTCCTCGCATTTTTCTTCCCCTTTTTTTCCTTTGCTTTTATATTTTTCACACTAACCTACCTATTTTTCTTCTATAGACTATATACTTTGAACAATTTTTAGGTTGGGAAGTTTCTACAGAATATATTATATAAAAAATATGCTGGACAAGTTGTGTATAACTTTTGAAAATATTGAACAACAAAAAAGTTGTGTATGTTATTGTAAAATTTGTTATATAAAAGTTGCTTTACAAAAGTTTAGCTAGTCTATAAAATTGTCAAAAATATATATATAAAATGTTATGATTAGAAATTATGGTGATAAGTTGTGTCTGATAAAATATTATGTACAAAAGTTATTGATACAACTTCGTAACTTTCGAAAAATAAAAAACTATGGAAATATTTTTTTTTTAAATGAAAAGGGAAGTAGTGGGGTTTACTGATTGTTCATTGGTAGGTTTCAAAATTTCAATGAAATGTCACCAAACTTTCATGAATTTCGTGGGTGACTGAAAGAAAAATTCGGAATTTCATAGTACACTAATATATGTGCTATATAACTCTATACTCATATTTTCTATTATTTATGTTGCATATTCTTCTACTTAATAGATATGTAGTCATAAATTATGCTATATTTTATTTAGATCTAAAAAGTTTTAAAAGAATCATACTTCATATTTAAGTCTCTAAAAAATTTCAGCCAAATTTTAGTTGAATTTCATGAATTTCAGTAAACCCTGTTCACTGGTTTCTAATCTAGCCAACGTTTTTTTATTAGTGGAGATGGTCGCAGCACTTGTTTTTCTTTGCTCTTTTTTTTTTTGAAAGGACGGCAAAAGCTTAAACGCAATTTTTATTAGACAGAGAAAAGACAAAAAAAAAAGGTTTTAGTACAACACACATACTCGCCTAAGTGCTTCAGCCAGGATCGTAAGAAATACCAAAACAAGATAAAAAGTCTGAAATCACCACCGACCGAAATAAAAAACGACTAAAGCGCAACCCGCTAACACCTAACAACAACAAAGGCCCCTTAGGGAGCAACCAAAACTGATAACCATGTCGACTAACTCGAGGACGTTCTAGGAACCATTGCCATGTTGTATTGGTTGATATCATCCTTGCATAAACTGGCTACTTCTCTGGGTCTTCTTGTCTTCTGTTGTAAAGTTCTTCTGTTACGCTCCTTCCAAATATGCCACCAGAAATATATAATGATTCCATCAAACATTTCTTTGCTCAGTTTATTGCTTGAAAATGGAGACAGCGGTTTCCATGCTTCTATGTATTTGGATTGTGCGTTTATTTCGTGCCTGGTTTTTTTTTTTACAATCTATATATATATATATATATATATATATATATATATATATATATATATATATATATATATATATATATATATATATATATATATATATATATATATATATATATATATATATATATCTGTGTGTGTGTGTGTGTGTGAGGTCGAAGTCCTGTCAGCTCTAAATTTTCTCTATTTATCGATGGCTTTGATACAATGGCCAATGCCTTGGAATCGTACATGAGAAGAGGAGGAAGTCTGTGAAATCAGGAAGTCGACACGACGGGCTACTCAAGCGAGAGCCCACTTTGATCCAATCCAAAATCCAAAAATACAGTATATATGTACACTAGCTCACACGATACATGCAAAATCTCGTGTCGTGCCATACTGCCACGCCATCTCCTAATGGCGACCTGAGGGGCTTCTGTTCCCGCTGAGGAAGTCCAGCTTGTCCATGTACGTCTGCTTGAGGTTGGTCATGATGTTTGGCAGCTTCATCAGCCTGCCGTCGTCCTGCGCTGGCAGCTCCGGTGGCGGCGCGGGCGATACGTCGTCGTTCTTGCCCTCAGGGTCACCGGTCCACCCCATGAAGTCCAGCAGGGTCGTCTGCTTGCTCTGGTCGTCGTCGTCGCCGGCCTCCTGCGGGCAGCGGCATCCTGCGGCGGGGTCCGCCGCGGGCGGCGCGTTCTTCTTGGCCTTCTCCCTGGCCACGTTGTCGGCCTGGATGACGTCCTCTATCCGGGACATGACGTTGAACGCCAGGCTCTCCAGGACCCTGGAGTAGCTCTCCAGCAGCGCGAACCCGACGTCCTGTCGTCGTCGGCCATGGCGCGCGGCAATGTGTCAGTGCATGCAAGACCGGCAAAGATTACTACTACTATACTAGCCAAGCCAACGGTTGCATTGCATGGCATCGCGTGCTCTGCTCAGTGCTCACCCTGTTTTCTTGGATCTTTGCGATGTCGAGCGCGGACTGGGGGATGCCGGGGAACCTGTGCTTGATGATGAGCAGCAGCGTCTGCGCCCGCTCCTCGAACTGCTCCCTCTTCTCCTGGCTGACGGCGGAGCCCCAGGAGGACTTGCCGTCCTTGTTGTGCACCTTCCTGTTCCAGATGATGACCGACGCCTCGATCCGGTCCTTGAGGTCCAGGATCTTGTGCTCCGACGTCAGGTCCACCGTCGACAGGAAGTCGTCCGGGTCGAACTCCACGTCCGTGATGATCCGGTACAGCGCGTCCCCGAGGCTGGCTCGCCCGTTCTGCCAACCTCAGGCAGCAAAAAGGTTGAGGATTCAGATGCTGTACATGTTTGCGAGATCGCACGCATGACAATTGCCAAGGACTAGGAGGCAGGCAAGGACCTTGGGGAGTGTGTCTATATACGTGTCCGGGATGCTCATCTCCATGAGGCAGTTGGCGTTGATGGCCATGGCCGCCTTGAGCACCTGGTTCACCAGCTCCTTCTGGTGCAGGAGCCAGCCTCTGGAGGTCAGGGAAAGCCCGCCGGGGGGCACCTTGACGATCGGGATCCACCATTTCTCGTCGGACCTCTCCTCGTTCTCACTCTCCGAGCACGAGTCGCGCTTCACGTACCAGAACTCGTTGCGCTCCTTGAAGTTGTCCAGGTAGTCCTGCAGCTCACGGGTAACAACACAACAGCAGGAGAGAGTTTAAGTTTAACTAACAACATCTTTTCCGAACCCGTCGACTGCATCTGGCTTTGAGGTGGATCCACTCATACATACGAGAAGCATCGTGTCCAGTTTACGCAATGCTGGAATGTTCGCCTGGAGATCCCGTCTCTGCTGCGTGCCCATCACCTGCGACGAGCAGCAGAACAGAGTGTCACCGGTCGGGCTGGTGAGGAAGAAGATCGATCAAGGGGCATCAAGGAGCGGCATGCACGTGGTGGCTGAACGAACCTCCATTTCGGTGCCGTTGTCCAGGACTTGTTTCTTGGCGACGAACTCGACGATGTGGTCGGCGACGGACAGAAGCCAGCCCACTTCTTTCTTCCACCTCCCCTTTCTGTCCGGGGCCATGGGCTCCAGCTTCCGTTGTTCGCCGAAGACAGAGGCTGCAGGTGAATATGGCACGCATGAAATTATTATAAAAAAAGGAATCGTGGTCTCTGCACTGCAGCGACCGAATTCGACAGGAATCACCTGCGAGGTTGGTGACGGCGTTGGAGAGGGCGAGCGCGGAGGGCACCCCTTTCCCGGACCCGGACATGTCCTCCCCGAGCAGCAGCTTGCCGAACTTCTCCTTCATCAGGTCCATGTCTGCACGCAACGCAACCACCTGACGCCTCATCAAGACCGGCAACACCACCGGCTCCACCAAGAACCATCTGCCGGCCGGGCCGATGCCGACTTACCGGAAGGTCCTGCGCTCTGCTCGGCGAGGCGCGACTTGGGCGCGGCGCTGTCCTTGTCGAGCACGGGCGCCGTGCTGGACCCCTGGCTCCGGGACATGACCTCCTCGTCGGGCGGCTGGCCCTGGTCCTCCTCCTGCACCATGCTCTGCGACCGCCGCACCGAGCTCCGCCGCTCCAATTGCGCCCCAGCGCTCATCGACCGATCTGCCGCGTTCAATTGCGTCACAGCCGGCGCCCCGTCATGTGTCACATCCAATCCATCCCCATGCCATGACGACGGCGACAAAAAGGATTTTCCGTTCCAAGGAAGGAGAGAGAAAGATCACCATGATGCCGGCATACCTGTAAAGCTTTGCTTTCGGGGCCTCGAGCGCAGCGCGGGTGTCTGTCGCCGGCGGAAAGGATGATGATGAGCTAGCCGAGATTGTGCGCGCGCAGAGAGAGAGCGCCAAAAAGAACGAGAAATGATTAGCTCCGAATGATGGATGATTCCTGTGGGTGTCTTCTGCAATCCATGAATCGGCGGTTTCTATGGATCGTCGTCATCTGCTCTTCCTGTCCTGTCCGAATAGGGGAGGCCCCGGACCGCTGGCATGGGAAGACAGGAGTGAGTATAATTAGGGAGTGGGACTCGCTTTATTATTAGAAAGAAAGCGCCTGCCATTCTTAGCCTCCTTCCCCTGCCAGTGCTTGTGCTTCCCGTGTATTGAACGGTCGATCGGGGAGTGGGGGTTGGACGGAGCTAGAGGAAGAAGAAGAAGCAGCCCTCTCGCTACTCTATCGATCTTTGCCGGATCGGAGATGCGCCGCCGTCAGGTCTCTCCTTGTAGCCTTGTACTACCCTCAACCATGGATATAACGGTAGAAATGGATGGCACGGCATTACTAGTAGCTGTACCATGGACGCGTAATAATGCAATGAGTGCTATCTTTTGTGTCACCGGCCGAGGCAACTGCTGCGCTTCGAGGGACCGGAGGGACAGTCTGGTCAACTTTCGCCTGTCTGGAAGGTTATGTGTTCACTCTTCACGTAACATGTCCTCGCTTACACTTGCTGCTACAGAAGCTGCAATTTAGCAAGATTGTACGCCTCAATGTCAACGGTAGGCTAAGTTGAATGAAGAATGATCATTGCTTCCCGTGATGGGAATGGGCCCTGAACGTACATCTAAAATAAAACAATTCTTACGAAACAAAGCATCCGACCTTAGCTCAGTTGGTAGAGCGGAGGACTGTAGTGTCTGCAGATCAATCCTTAGGTCGCTGGTTCGAATCCGGCAGGTCGGATAATTTTGTTTCTTTTTTTTAAATCGTTTTTTTTTGCCGTTTCTGTAGATGGAGGTCTGCTTTGCTCCTGCTAGAATAACCCCCCAAGAAAATTAAATTTTCATCCATACACCATCATCACCAAATTAGTCTAAATTTCGTATAAAAAAGCAAATTGACCAGCGATGAATTCCACAGTTTCCAATCTCCCACAATGTTTCAAATCTACTGGTACCATCGTGCTCCTACAGACTACAGTGAGGCAACATCGACGCGCCAGCGGCCGCCGCCGTGCCACCTCGTCGCCCTCCACAAAGCCGGTGGAGGAAAAAAAAATCCTCCTCCACCTGCTTTGCCTGGTCGTGATGTTTTAGCTGCCATGGGCTTGTCATGCTGCCGCCCCTTTGAAGACGAGGAACCTGAGCGACTCAAGGCGGAAGTAGATGAAGCTCCCCTTGCTGTGCGTGAAGTAGCAGCCGAAGCTGGAGCCAACCACGCATTGCCATCCGGGGCCATGGATCGCGTCAAACTCCTACAGCCAATCCAACTGCAACTGGTGAGCAGAGCTGCATAGGGTGGATGGAGATGGGATGGCACGCGAGCCACGACGAGGGAGTGTTGTTACCTTCTTGATGTGAGCCGCGATGCTCCGGCAGTCGAGGACGTCGAAGCGGTCGAGGGCCCTGGACGCCGCCGACATCGCCTGCGCCTGCATCTTCGCCGGCATGTCGGTGTCCTCCACCACCGCCTTTCCTTCCAACATGGCGCTACGGTGTCCCTGCTCTGCTCTCGCGATATCGCCTCCTGTCCTGCTCTCCTGTCCTGCTACTGCTAGCACGCACCAGCACGGCACGAGGGCTCAGCCAGAACGTGATCTGAATTCTGGAGAAGACGACGACGACTCAGAGATGTGCGCGTATCTGTGCATTCCCCCGTCCTTGTTATATAGCCGGAGCCGAGAGCCGGGAGAGGACGGGCTCGCGGATAATACGGCAGTCATCCATCCACATGTATCCGCGTCAAGCTGACGTGCTTGCGGCTACGGGTAACGACCAGGTCGGGCCTCCCTCGAGTTCAAATGTTCAATTCAATTGTTCAAATGCCAAGGACGAGCAGGATGCATGAAGCATTGGTGGGAAAACACGCACAGGTTTTAATTAACTCATGCTGTGGGTGCTTTGCCGTGTTGGATATGGCCAACGTCACGTCCAATCTTTTGGCGGGTGGAATTGGGCGCATGGGTGGATTTTGGTGTGCGGATTGATTTCGGAGAACCCAGCATCGTATTCTCTTTGAGCTTGTATTGCTACTGTACTATTGGTCCGGTGGTCCCTATCGTGGCGAGGTGTCCACATCCGGGTCAGGCCGGGGCGGCGGGCTGGAAAGTGGAAAGTCTCGGGCTCTTTCCGATCCTGCGGGTAAAGAAATCGATCAGTCGGCCCTATTTTCGTCCCGTTCGGCTGGTCATGTTTCAGCTTGTTTCAGCTTATTCTTTCTCACAGAATACTATTCAATCATTCAAAACAATCTAAAATCTACTGTTGAGTGGTACCGTACCATGTGTTCCGGATGGGGGCTCTGAATTCCTGATCACGGGAGCACACAGCTTTATGCAGTCTATCCTTTCTCATCTCTTCAAGTCGCAATATCATTCCCCGCTTGGCACTTCATCTGTGTGGCACATGAACATGATGATGAGACTCTAGAACTTTCCTCGCAGCAGCTACGCGATTTTCTTTTCATTCCTCGTGCATTGCCAAAAAAAAAAAGTGTACCTTAGAGCTGTTGGGTTTCGTCAATCACTATATTGCCTTACCAAACGAGCATATATATATATATTTTTAAGATAATGAACAAGGATATTACATTAGGCAGTGTGTTTGATACTAGGCAAGGCTACCTTGGGAATGGGACCTGTGTAAGCAAGCTTTTGCCCTGTTAACATGAGAGAGCTAAAATAGCTCTCCTAGCTTGGCAAGCTTCTCGTTGCTAAAGCAGCCTCTATAGGCTATAGCTCGGAAATATATAACGGTTGCATCATCTATTCTAATACTATTGGAATCGAAATTTGTATTGTTGCCGAACACGTGCGGTTCTAACTTTATGAGCATGGGTTATAAGTCCAGATCTGAGATGAGACGAGAAGAGAAGCAAGGGCACTTTCGGAAGTAACAGAAGACGGTAGAAGAATCACTTTAATATAATATAATATAATATAATATAATATAATATAATATAATATAATATAATATAATATAATACATTACCGTATAGCATAAATAATATAGTATAATATGATGCAATATAATATGTAGATGTATAGATATACAAATATAGGTATAGATGTAGATAAAAATATAGATATATGTTTTTTATTTCTTATTTTAGACTGCTGCTTTCTTAATTTGAGCGAGTGTGTATGCTTCGGTTGTGCTACGCCACGAAGCCAACGGGCCCAATGAGCCTTGGGGATCGGCCTCACGCCGCCTGTGCCTCTCTCTCGTCGTCTGTCCAGGAGTGGCGGCCCTTTCCCATGCAGCCCGGCACACAGCAAGGCCCACCACAGCTGCATTCCTCGCGACCAGGTCGGGCCTCCCAACGGCCAACGAGTTCAATTGTTCAAATGCCAAGGACGAGCAGGGAATGAAAGCACAGGTTTTAATTTACTCGTGCTGTGGGTGCTTTGCCGTGTTGGATGTGCAACGTCACGTCCAATCCTTTACCGGGTTGAATTGGGCGATTGGATTTTAATTTGATCCCGGATCGTAGTTCAAACCTCAAAGAGTAGCTTAACAGATACGTACGTGCTAGTTGGAAAAGGAATTTTCAAAAAGGACGGAGCAAGTTTTTTTTAGGTAACTCCTATTATATGGGAGAATATATTATATGAGAACTAGAAAGGCACGCGGTCTTGCCGCGCAGTGTCTGTATTTTGTCGTAATATTATAGTTGATACAGACTTTATTTCATGCATAGAGTAATAATAATTGTATGTAGACGCTAAGGCGCAGATGCACACTTTTTTTAAGCAACGTAGGTAAGACAACCGTGGCTTTATTATTTTCGCATAGGCGTCAAGGTTTGCAGCCCGACCATTGTTATGAATGTATTATTTAATAGGGACTCTTGTGTTCTTGCTCCTACTTTGATGTGCAATTGTAATTTTGTCTTTACTTTTCTAACTTTATGATTTTGCCCTTAACTGTTCATGAGTCAACGCGATTTTGCCTCTGGTCAACGGTAAAAACAGGGGCAAATTCGCATTCACCAGGGGCAAAATCGCGTTGACTTGTGAACAATTAAGGGCAAAATCACAAAGTTAGAAAAACGAGGGCAAAATCACAATTGCACATCTGTGTAAGGGGCAAGAACACAATTTTTCCATTTAATAAGATATTATTTTTGATATTGAAATGGAATTATTACATTTATTGGCAATATTTATTGTGGAGAAAGAAGGGGTAAAACTATTTATTAAGGACGGAGGAGCATAAGTAGCTAGAAGTTTAATGTAGTTGTAAAAAAACGAGGAGAATTCGACCTCGAATCATGAGATTTAGGAATCCCTTAGACGTGATGGTATTTTCTTTAATGAAGTAAGGTTAATATTAAAATATGATGCGTAGTTATAGAGCTAGCACGAAAAAGCGTAGAAGAACGATGATACCATATTTTTTTTAACAAAATATAATATTTGGTTGGTGTGGTACTTTCTATGAAAGTAGTGTCAGTATTAAAAATGACCCATTGCTGTAGGGCTCCTACAAAGAGACGTAGACAATTGATGGTACGATTTTTTTTTTTTTTTTGCCAAAATAGGGTCTTCGTTTGCTGTGGGTTGGTTCTATAAAATATGAAGTTTTTTTTCAAGAATAACGTGTCATTAGGTGGAGCGTGGATTAATTTTATGCAAAATGAGATTTTTTTTGTGAAACAGGGAAGAAACACGGATTGTGGATTTATTTCTCGAGTAAATAGGGTCCATTTTCTAAATCAACGAAGGAATGTGCGGAAGGCAGGTTCATTTTCTAGAAATTTGTGGTTTCTTTTGTAAATAACTAAAGATAGACTGTTGATTGATTTCAGCCAAACTTGAGGGGTTTTTACAAAAAAAAAAACTGAGAGGTGGCCTAGACTCGGGTTGATTTAAGTGAAGCTCGAGGGGTTTCGAGAAAAAAAAAGATATTAACTGCCTCGGATTACGGGTTGATTTATGTGAAATAGAAGGGTCTTTATTCAAAATTACGGGGCCACGATCTGGGCCGTCCACGCGCCCAATCCAACAGCCGGGAAAGGCGCGCGACGTGGCCACACTCTCCGCTCGTCTTTTGGTGCGTGAATCGTATTAAGAGATTCCTAAAGGACACTCGGTTGTTTCCGCCAGCTCCAGCACGCGATTTTCTCTCCGCCTGCTCCTTCCGCCGCCACCTGCAGGCCAGTTGTTGCCCCCTCTGCCGCTACCCCCAGGGTGGCCGCTGCTCCCTCCGTCGCGCGGGCCCTGCTCATCTTGATGGCGCGGGCTACTTCCAAGCGGCAACGCGCGCAGGATCCCTTCGTCTGACGCTGCCAGATGTTCCGCATCGGGAAGAAGACGCCTGAACCATAGGTAGAAGAGAAGAGAATGGACGTTCGATCTTTGTTTTGGTATGTTCTGTCTCTGACATTTGTGAATAATTTGGTACATATTTGTCTGATATCTGCAATCCATAGAAATAATTTATATTTTTTTGGACAATTTGAGATATATTTCTCTAAGATCTGCAATCCATAGAAATAGAAGTTGTGAGCATCTCCAAGAGTTTTCAATAAGTCCTCCCAATCTAGGATTTTTAGTAAGAATAGAAAAAAAAACCATCTCCAACCGTTTCCAAACCTAGCTCCCAATCTTTCCGCACTTGGAAAAATAGATCGATCATGCGGATATATATGGAAGGACATGGGAAAGAATAAAAAGCAGGAAAGGGTTCCTGATGCAAATGTACAAGAAAGAAAGAATATATAAAGTGGTTAGGATAATTTAGAAATAGTATATGATTTGTGATGTAAAATTGACTTCTATTAGGAGGGAATTATTGAAAACTGTTGAAGATGGTCTTATTTATTCCCCCGAATAATTTTTGACGAGTTAGAAAACTCCATAGTTTTGGAAAAAAATGTTATGAACTCTTAGGAATGCTCTTATCCCTAAATTACATCACTCTTTATAATAAATTATAGTAGAAAAATTATTGTAAATATAATAATAAGACAAAAATTGGACCGCCGCAGATCATCTATAACATGAACAGCTAGGAGGACCATTTTTACTGGGTTGGGCAAGGAGGACCTCCCCAAAAGTAATCTACAACATGAACAACTAGAGATCAACGAATCAAGCAATGGCCAGGCAACTCGATCTCCTACACAATGCCTCTCTGCTCAGCAATCTGAGTGACTTGTTCCAGAGAAGCGGCAGAGTCTTATTGGTTTAGGCCGGAGGGAAGAAGCGGTTGAGGTTGAATGGCAGGCTGTAGAACTCCTCGTTCCTGCTGTCGCCCTTGAACGCCCGGAACCGCAGCCACCACGGCATCCCTCGGTCCTTGCCCGCGTCCTTCATCTCCAGCGTGTTGTCCAGGAACACGGCCACGATCAGCCCCACCGTCGGCGGCGACGAGAAGATGGTGTTGATGTAGTCGTTGAACTGCAGTCATCCCAGGTCACACACACACACACAAAAGTTAGCCGACATGATTTGAAGAACTAGTGCCAGCCGCCATATGATTTGATATACTCCTACTTGCTGCTGTCTGCTACTGCACTGCACTGTCTATCTACATGATATCTCAGGTACTGTTTGACCTTGAGCCATGAAATAGGGTAAAGAGAGACGTACCCATCCAGCTTTCGTGTGCGCAGGACCACGGTGAGCAGCCATGGTGTACCGGAAAAAGTATTCCGGCACGGAAAGGCCCAGGAAGATGGAGACACCGACGATAAAGAGGTTGCGCATGGAGTTCATGTTAGTGAACTGTAAGAAGGACAGCCCCACTGCAGCTGAAAGTCAGAGAAAGGTGAAAAAAAACCGTCAGCCCAGGCAGCAGCATTACCAAAGCGCAGCAGCAGACTGCACACATCAGGAGTGTTCGGACCGGTGACTAAAATTTAGGAGGTGTCATATAAAGATGTCGTATGGCGTGTTCGGATAATAATAAAAAAATAAATTACAGAAAGGACTCCACGGGAAGAATTTTATTAAGCCTAATTAATCCGCCATTAGCATATGTTTACTGTAGCACTACATTGTCAAATCATGGACTAATTAGGCTTAAAAGATTCGTCTCGTAAATTAGTCGCCAGCTGTGCAATTAGTTTCGCAATTAGTCTATATTTAGTACTCGCATAAGATTCGGACGGGTTCAGGGAAACAGGATGACCAACCAACTAGTCCAAACAAGACGCAGTACACGGCTGCAAAGATGGTGAACGGGATGGAAGCGAACAAAGCTCCAAATTTCCCTGCAATTCGATAAATGAAGAGTGTCAGGAGCTGCTCCTCGCACTCAGGGCCTCAGTTGCAGACATGATCTGCAACAGTCCAATTACTACACGATCAAACAGTGGCTCACCCAGCATGGAGAAAAATATCATGAAGCCAGCTGAGATCTGTATAACCCGCCGGCTCCCAATCCTTGTCGACCCAAGCAGCCCAACGTTCTCCCTGCATCGTTGTGCCAGACAAGTAGTGTCAAGGCTTGTAATACAAAACATCTGCAGAGGCACAGTGGTGAAGAAGATTTTGGCATAGACACTCACACTGAGACAGTGGAGCCAGTCCCCGTTCCAAAGAGCCCGTCAAGGAGGATGCCGATTCCCTGTTGTTCGCCAGAGCATATTTTCAGTTTTGAACATCTCATGCAACATCAAAAGAAGAACAATCATGGGTGCAAGAAAGTGTTTACCTGACACCCAATGCCTCTACTCAGGATATGAGCCGGAGGTGGAGTCGCACTTGCAAGCCGAGCAGCGGCTTTGTAGGAGGCTGTGGACTGTCCGAGAGAGATATTGTGTTAAGGTCAATTCTGTCGTTTCTGAATTCTAAAACAAAGGATCCAAGGCTGAAGTATGTATCACCTCTACTAGCGAGACCAAAACAGCAGACACCATACCAAATGACTGGCCAGCATTGAAGGTTGGTGCGCCCCATTGCAGTGGGTAAGGAATTTTAATCCTGGGTGGAGTCAATGGATCAATTTGCAGAGAAAAAAGACGCAAACAATTCCGTGTCTCACAAAAAGAATGCAACTGAAGATCTATCTTAAGTTGGGACAAATGCACTTAAGCTGTTGGTGGCTCCAATATGTCACTCTTTGTTACACCTCCATTGCAAAATCAGGATTCCAAGTCTCCAACATTAGACCATTGTTATTTTTTCACAATATATTGAATTATTGATAGTAGCAGTAACCAATCATCCGTGCCTTTTCCACAAACGAACAAAAAAAATGATGAACACTCTCAAACAAATCTAAGATTGTAAGGTGTCAGACGTTTAGGAAAACACTGATCTAAGGTGTCAGGTTCATGTCACTGAAAACGCGTATGCTAGACCAAAAATGGGTTCAGACTTACAAAAATTGACTATCGGATATGTTCAACATACAAATAGCGCCTAATACTGGATTGAGCATTGAGCATTGAGCATCTTTACATCTACACGACACACTTAACATCGTGTTGGCAAGGGTACTAACCATGGGGCAGAAGAGATCAGATTGGCTCTGTCAGTGCGGCAGTTGTTCTGAGTGACCTCAGAGCTATTTTTATAGGCTCCACCTGAGGTGAGGATTTGAGCATATGCCCATACCAATGCGATACAGATGAAAAGGGAGAACCTTTCCAGTATGGGAATTTCTTTTATTTGTATATTCTTCAGATACTGGGAAAGAATGGAAAGGCACAAATTAGGTATGTTTAACTTCCCAAGATGAATTTGGTGCATAGAAAACTGGACAGTATGGAGTTTTGTCAAACCTGAGAGAGTACAACAAAGAGAATCAGCATTGGCAAGCCAATCTCAACGCATCTCCCAACCTGGTGCAATATCATCAGACATTAATTGGGTGAACAAGCTTATTCCTCATCAACATATCCACGTCTTGCGTGGTCATGCGCACAAGTTGACAATACAAAATGGAGTCGGGACAAAGCAAGCGGTACCACAGGGAAACCTCTTTCGAAAAGGCCAAATCCGAGCAGCGCAACCACTGGGGTCATCCCCACTGGACTGAAGAATCTGAAAGAGGATATGCATTTTTCGAACCAATCAGTAAATCCTAGGCACTGTCAAAACTGAAATGGAATGCAGAAGCATTCATGGGCCAATCCATTCCAACATTTAACTACAACTAGAATTGGGTAAATCCTAGTTCTTCCAAGGCAAGAACACTAGAACTAGAATGCTTGGACTGTGAAGTGTGAAGGAAAGCAACCTGGAGAAAATACCCCACAGCTGGCTGTAGCCCAGGATGATCTGAATGCTGGAGGACACTATCAGTGCCCCCTGTATCGCCTTCATGGTCTCGAGGAACCTCTGCTCAATGACGGATGAAAAAACTTGCAGATTAGACCACCGCCTCATCAGAAGCAACAGACTGGACACAGGCAATTGCTCACCTGGTGACCATCGGGTATCCCCGAAAGCGACGGGTCCTGGATGATGGCCATTATCGGGATCACGAAGGCGTAGGAGCCGCCGATGACCGTCGGCAGCCGGGTCCCGAAGAGGGACTGCAGCAGCGTGTTTATCCCCGTCACGAACAGCAGCGTCTGCACCACCCTGACCCTGTCTCCCTGCAAATAGCGACACCAATCACAAGCGAAAGGGAAAGGACCCAAAACATCACATCACCAAACTGATGCTGCCAAGAACCGGCACGAATCTGGTGTGGCCAAAAAGCGGAAGGCATGACACAGGAGCTCACATCGTCGCCGCCCATCATGGGAACCAACACCGCCGGGATCATCACCGCCGTGCCCAGCGCCAGTATGTAGTGTTGGAAGCCCAGTATGATCGCCTCGCCTGAAATGAAAGCCAAAAAGGATTTTTGTTAAAAAAAAAGAAGACGAAGAAAAAGATTCAGAGAGCCGAATTCCAACACAAATGTGAACTCATTTCAGCTCCTAGCTACGATACGCACCCCAGGGAGGGTTGGAGTCTATGCAGTACTCGAACCCCTGGAGCTGCTCCATGGGCGGATGGCTTATCTCCTCCGGCTTCACCTCCGCCATTTCCCCCGACGAGTTTTGCCCTCTTGGACCAAGACAAACCGGAGGAAAGAGGACAGGAAGAGAGCTCTTGTCCCTCAGGCTCCCAAGAACACGATCTCGTCCCTTAAAATCACCAGACCGCCGCACGCCGATTCGGTGAGTGGTTGGTTCCTGCGTGCTTCGTCTGCTGGGCCTCTCTTGACAAAGCAGGAAGAAGAATCCAAAGCAGTGAGATGTATAGAGATGAAACGTATCCACCGGCAACAGCCGCCCTTTGCAGGAGCGCACCAGGACGAAATCTGTTGGAGAAAAGTTTTCGAGTGCGAGGGGTGCGGGGACAGGCGGCGCAAGAGGGAGGGAGGGACACCAGCGGCGGCGGCCGAGAGCGATTCCGCACACAGGACACAGCCCAGCGGCGTCTAGCAGTGGCGAGTACTGGTCGCCGGCCGGCCTCTCTTATCTCGTGATGCTTCCTTTTGTTTTCCTTGCCTTTTTATCGTTGCTGGGCAGGGTTTTGCTGCGGGTTGCTCGCTGGGTTTAATCGCCTTTGAAGCGCTCTTCCCTCCTCTCCTGTGGTGGAACTGGCCGTTGGCTTTTTTGCTGTGACCAAATTGCCCCTCCTGTGTCCTGTATGTACAGTACGGTACCGCTGTTTTTCACCTCGTGGCTCGTGCTGACGCATGGGGCGACTGCTGTCTGCTGTAGTTTCAACGTACTGTTGACTGCTGTGTTTTTGCCTCTTTTGGCAAAAGGAAGTTTAGTAGTAGTAATAATCTTTTTTAACATTTCTTGATCCGAAAGTTCATTTGTGATACTAAGATCATTCGTACAATAATATCCAAGTTAGCAACGTATGAATAAATGTTGATTTCCCCGTACCTTCGGCTTCTGCTTTTCAGGGGGACTTTCAATCTTTGCCACAATTAAGTCCACAATATTGTACTCTATTAGAAAAACTGAAAAGGTATTCTATCTGTTCGAAACTATAAGTCAGTTGTGGTAACTTTATGTAACTAGATATAGGTACATAATTTTATGTATGTGTGTGTATATATACACTTAGATATATAATAAAAGTAATATATCAACAAAGTCGGAACTACTTAAAAGTAAGTATTTACGTACGGACTCCCTCTGCCCCATATTAAGTGTCGTTTTAGCTTTAGGCACATCAATAAGATGAGTGAAAAAGGTGTGGTACGAAACATAAACGATAAAGATAGAGATATTTTGGGAAAAAAAAGGATTCATGGCAAAGTGGGAATGGCAAATAATTTGGAACAAATATAGCAATGGCAGATATAGGAATTCATAGAAGATGTACTCAAGCAATCTTCAACTTTTAGAGTCCTTTCTTTCTCTCTTACATGTTTATAAAAATTAGGAGTGTGGTTTCATTGTCGCGGAAGAGGTAGGGGAGTTTGAGCATCGCCTGTCTTGACACTAGGCCTACCTCCGAATATAGAAGGTTGGATGGAGTACTTGGTTTACTGCTAACGAGGCTGCCACGACGACAGCCTAGAAAGACAACGGATTCTAGAGAGGGAGTGCATTGCATTCCGCGTACATTTCCCTGATTCCTGCCAACCGATGGGACAATTGCTCCAGTTAGGGGCAGTCCCAATGCTGTAGTTTCTATATCTCTTAATTTTCATAGACACTACATATAGAAACCATAGTCCCAATGGATAATTTTTACGGAATAATTTTTTATCCAATCATATACATTCTCTTTTCATTCTCTATCAATCACATCCCTTCATGTTCTCGTATAGACATGGTTTCTAACTTAGACCCGGTTTCTATGATTTTTGCTCTCTCTCTCTAATAACTACCTTGTCACATCAGCAAAATGTTTAGGTGGTAGTACAATTAATGTCCATAAAAACTATGCCCTTAGATATGTACAGCGGCACTTGAGGGGGCTGGTCCAAAACCAGAGGTCTGAGGATACTTGCTCCTGATCCCCTCCCCCCCCCCCCCCCCCCAGTTCACGTCGGCGCATGTCCTGACCCGCAGTCCGAGTCGGACAGAGAAAGAGAAAGGGAGGGATGGGCAACCGGCAACGCAAAGTAACCGTTGGGTGCCGCCTCTCGCCGCCCCTCGCCGTGTGGGCTGGTGGTCGGACCGATGTTTTCCATCGCATTTTTTGCATCGTGGGACGAGCCAAGAGCACAACAGCAAGCCACGCACGCAGCCCCGGCGGCTGTCTGCCTGCCTGTTTTCCTTGCCCTGCCCTGCCTGTGAGTCTGGGTCTCTGGCGGTCTGGCCGTGTCTGCCGTGGCCGCGCGGCAAGCCTGCAAGACGACGCCCTTCTGCTTGGGGCCGCGCGGGACGGGACAGCGATCTGAGAGATGCCTACAGCCTACAGCCTACCTGACGCCCTGAGCGCACGGAGACCCACGCTGCGCGCGCCGCTACCGCGCTACTACGCCTCTGCCGCCGCTGTCCGTAAAACACCTGCCGGCCGTGCCATGGTCTTCAGCAACAGAAGCGGCGGGGAAAACTCCCATTTCTATGGGAAATCCAATCAGGCTTACAATGGAAATCCCATTACTATTATTACTACTAGTGGAGTACAAAGACTAGTTGCGGGTACTATTCCGTTTTCCGCTGCAGCGTTGGTTACCGCCAATGGATGACTGGTAATAATTTATTGTGGTTACTGCAGCCCGCTGGGTAGGGGTAGCGAGGCCAACGGGAAAGTCCCTCTGCAATTGCCTCTGCCTGCCAGAGTGCCAGTGCCAGATCTACGGTGGTGTGTGCGCAGCACTGTGGTGAATTCATGGACGTGCGTCGGGCCAATTCGGGAGTAATGAGCTGCACCGAGCCAGAGACGGTGGTCAGATTGCCGGTTGGTGGTGGCGAGCTGACGGTGGTCGCTACAGTTGGCGCAGATTGCTGACCGTTTGGGTTGCAAACGAGAGCTTTCGAGGTTGCCGTGACCGTGGATGATAATTCGAGGTGGGTCATGTCGTCGTTGGCTTTGCTGTTGGGGGGCACACGGTGCGTCGTCTGTTGCCTGTAGCGCTACCATCTACGCTGTAGCGGTGACTTATCCCATAATCTACCGCACTGTAGCATTGCGTGTCGCGCGCCAGTAGTAGCGTGTTCAACTGCAGACCGCACGACATCAGCCCTGAAACATCACATGGATATGAGTGACTGCCACCGACCATGTTCTGCTTGATAAAAGTAACGTGACCGTCTTGATAAGGCTACCAATTGGAAATCCTAGCATTCCAGCGGCAGAGCAATGAGCTGGACACAAAAACACGCCCACGGCCACGCTTCTTTTTCTTGTCCTAAAATGTTAATTTTCTGGTACCTTGTATAATACAAGACTACAAGTTGGCAAGTTGCTCTGAGGGCCTTTCCTGGAATCATTTCCCTTGGACTGATTTTAATTGTTTTGTTTTTTTTCCTTATCCACATTACAAAAACTGTCACTTAAAAACTCAATGATACACTGACTCCTTAGAATGGATCAAAAAGGTGGGTGGTGCTACGATCTTCTGTCTGACTTATAATCGCTTCTCTTCTCTACAGCCTCTTTTCTCTTTTGTTGCCTGGAAAACAAGAATACACTGTTATAATTGAACAACAAATTGTAATGGAAAATATTGTCAGCTCTATTTTCTCTTCATAATATATCACAATCCCTTTAATTGCTTTTGCCATTGATTCTACCATTCATTTTTAACCAATGCTTGTTTTTTGAATGCTTGTTTGTCTTTGCCACTTTCTGCAATCTTGGGTCAGATGCTGTTTGTTAGTTAGGGCCTTAGGGGCATATACAACTTACCAAATATGGCTTCAAAGGCTGTGGATAGCAATGGCATATGCTTAGTGAGGTTTTGTCAGTTGTAATGATTGAACCTTAACATTCTTTTCAGTCACATATGGTCACTTAATTGCAAACTAGAGTTATGGTGCAAACAAAAGGTAACAAAAACAGATGGAAGTAACAAAAGAAATAAGTGCCAGTAAAACTGAACAAGATTTCCCCCAGTTGATAGGTGTGAGCAACAGCTAGTGGGAGGGCACCTAGACCACCTACAGCACAGGAAGATTGCTACAGGCCTATAGCAAGAAATAACATTGTGCGAATGGATAATCTGAACATGGTAAAGACAGTCATACTGAAGCAACAGAACTTACGCAAAAGCAGCATATCCAGCACCAGCATTAGCTGAAGTCAAAAGTGCCGCAGAAGCAGTTGCTGATAAGTTGTCATGTCCACTAGGAACCAAATGGTTCTTAACATCACCATCAACCTAACAAGTAACAAATAAAAGCAAAACGGGAAGTCAACCCCAAAGATCAGTATTCCAAACAAGGATAGATGCCTAGAGTGGTTGATTAAACACCTTATCCCATTTTGACTTCTTGTTTGGTCTAGTCTCTTTCTGCAAACCTTCTGTAGGTACCGGTAGTGTACTGACACCAGCCAAAGCTGAGTATATATAACAAACATCAGAATAATAAAACCACATAAATGGAGGCTGTGCTCCATCCAGTACTGCCAAAATAGAAAAATAGGACTGCTTCATGTTCACTATACCTGGGATCTTCGGTATTGATGCACTAATTGGAGGTTGTACCCCTCCAGTAATAAATTCAACTTTTGGGCTCCTTTTCTTCTCCTGTTCCTTCCTCTCAAGTTCACGCTTCATTTCAGCTTCTGCATTCAAATAGTACGGATAAGATGTAAACTGGAATACCATTATATATCACCAAACAGACAGATTGAATGTTCAGTATTGGTGCCAAATATAATTTTGAAAAAAAAAATATTTGCAGCTGAAATATCTGTCCCTACTTGCATAAGCACAACATCAATAGATATATAATTTCAGTTCACTTTAAAAATGAGTAACTCTTTTTGTGAACTTATGGTACATTAAATATTCCATTTCTATAAAAAAAAATCAACGACACTAGATTATTCCATGTTCTGCCCGTCTAACTTGGTGTTTTACATATACAGACCTGAATAGCTAGTTTAGCCTCTTAACTCTTATAGCATTTTCCTCAAAAAAAAAAAAGTGAGGCAAACATGCACCCTTGACAATTCGAGATAGGTGAACAATAGAACATTTTCTAAATGTTCCTAATTGACCAGGTCCTAATATTTAACCAGTAAAAGGGACTTTATTGTAACGCTCCCAAGAGGATAGTATATTGAACAAATACAAATACCTATCTCATCATAGTAGTCGCCCTTGTCATACCCATAAGGATCAAAAACATCTTTACCAAAACAGGTCCCTATCTGATCGATTTCTTGGTACCGCACAGCATGCTGCAAAAAGTCAGGATTTCTGTAGTCCTTCCTGTTGCGCACTTCAGCATTAAAGCTCTTTCCAGCCTTTTTGTATGCAAGGAACCTGTTAATTTTTTGCTGCAGAAAAAAAAACAGAAAACAATAGGTAATGAGTTTTAAGTAAATACTTGCAGTAAGAACCAACACAAGAATAGCTGAATAAGTGTGAAGGTGTGTAGAGACATTCCTAGTGTAAATATTGCCTGAATAGCAATATTATCATGATGCTTTCACAAAACTTGAAAAGAGAAGCAGACAACCAGAAAAAGAAGAATAGAAAAGCCTTCAAGCATAAGAATAGGTGAACTGATAACGTAAAGCTATCACATAGGACATAGCCTATTCTCGATAACATCATGTTAGCATATACAGGTGTGGAAATATATGATGCAGATGTTTAGCTTTGCCTTCACATTACAGGAGAACATGATAGTTTCATCAATTTTAAATATAGATTATGGAGTTCATCGAACACAATAACAAGGAAGAGTGGAAGACATCCCACCATGAGCTGATATTTTGTACGAAAACGTGACAAAGTTGTTTAGGGTTGAAAAATAGGTAACATAATTATTTGATCATAGGATAACCTGTAATGCTGCAGAGCATTTTGTAGTCACAGGTGGAGGAAGGAAACGACTCAATGGATCATCATTTTCACCATTGGTTGAAATACCAGTAGTTTCCTCCACCTGGGCATCTTCAGTTTCTGATCTAGTTACATCCACTTCCATGTCTGTCCCTACTTGGTTCTGCTCGGGTGCATCAGGATGATGAGACATTTCTGCTGGAGTATTTGGGGTCATAATATGAACTGTGCCAGAGAGAGTTCGTTCTTCAAGATCCCCTAGAAATAAGATGGAAGGGTAGATCATATTAGATAATCCGATGGATGTTTGACATTGCAATGACTAAATTGCTCCAGACATGTAAACAGAAAACATAACTTATATGTATTTTTTATACAGAGGTCAGACTGTACACACCAAGCATCCGATATAATTAAGTCAAATTAAAATATCAAGTACTCCAGCTATGTGATCAGTGGCTTCCCAAATAATGTATTAAAGAATGGGAATGCACAAATTGTTTTGCTTCACATCAATCAAATTGTTGTACAAACTGATAATTACGTGTGTGTTTTTTGGAACAGAACTGATTTAGGGTTGGATAACAAGCAAACTGCAATTTTTTTAGCTTTCTTCGAATTGACATAATCTTATGGCCTTCTGAATTGTTTGATACTCAACTTCGCACCAAGTTTAATGAGCCAAGCCGAAGTCAAAAGTCATTCAAAATCAACTCATTTTTGTTCTAAAAGAAAAACGAGTTCAATCAGAGCAGTTTTAAACCGACCCACCGAGTTAGGTCAATAAGTTTTTTGTCCAGACCAACTTATAATCATGAATGGAATTTTTTTGAAACCATATGGCATCTTCATGCCTGTAAAATAATTTACACTTCCTGGGGCCTACGATGCACTTTCAGAAGCTAAACACTCACAGATTTCCAAAATGTACTTAGCCAAGGTTAAAGAACCTACATCGTTGTGCCATACGCCTAATGGGGGCTAAAGGTCCATCTGGCCCAGGCGCCAAGGGCAGCAGCAGCGCCGCCACGAAGGGCGGCAGCAGCGCTGCCTAGGGGGTAGGCACGCACAGCAAGGGCAGGCTCCCGCCGCTACACTATCCATACTCGTAGGATCTTCAATAAAGGAAAGAGGATAGGAATAGGATTGGTTGAGATTAGATAGATAGGGAGGAGTCCATATCTATAAGGACTTCCCTCATTAGATTACTTAGGATACAAGTCTACTCAGGACTATAAATAGAGAGGCTATGTAATCATTGAGATCAAGAAAGAACAACCTCAGGCTTATCCTCCCCTTCCCTCTCCCTCTCTCCCTGCGCCAACTCCTCCTCTCCCTCCCTCTAGCGCCGCCGCCTTCTCCCTGTGCCGCCCGCCCACACCCCCCTAAACCCCAGCCGCCGCAGCCCCTAGGGCCCCCTCCCAACAGGGCTCTTACACGTTGTTACCAAGATTAACAGTAAAATCAAATGCATTGGTACCTCTAAGTGTTTATGTTTCAAGAGGATGCTCTTCAGGGCACGCTTATATCAGCAAATGCACCAGTGGGGAGGAGGAATAAAAATGTCAAAAAATCACTCATCTGACAGTTTGTACAAGAGCACAACAATTTTCCTAAAAGCATGCAATAAGATTTGACCGAAACAGTCCACTGAATCTAGTTAATCATCATAACCCTATTTTTTTCTTGCGTTGTAATGCAAACCACTAGACAACAGTCCACTGGATCTAGTTGATTATCATAGAAGTTTACTTTCTTTTTCATTGCAATGTCACACAAGAGATCACAACCCTATAATATTGCATCTTTGTATAGCATTAAAACCCGTTCAAGATCAAGCAGACCAAAATGTAACAAGTCAAAGATGCCAAATCTAACCAGTCCACTAGATCTAATTGATTATCATAGAAGTTTACTTTCTTTTTCATTGCAATGTCACACAAGAGATCACAACCCTTACTACATTACTATATATCGCATCTTTGTGTAACATTGAAACCCGTTCAAGATCAAGCAGACCAAAATGTAACAAGTCAAAGATGTCAAATCTAACTGCATAATACCCATATCAAGAGATGGAATGGAGAAACAGTCTAACATTCTAGCATATTGTTTCACATCATGATCTCAAAATAACTACTGGTTGATGGGGATGTGTACATGACTAGTTGCAATTAAAGCACATAAGGTGACATCATCATACTTTCAGCCATATGAACAACAATAACTCGATGTGTTTGATAATTCTGCTTGGCCATGGCCATCTCTAGTAATATCATGGCATGGCTACTATGCATGATATTCACATGAAAGTAAATTGAATTACAAGCATGAGTAGAAAGTAACATAAGAACAATTCAGATATCCTTAGTTCCTTACATAACACATTTTCTGCAAACTGGTTGGGCTAAGTTTATTTGATCTGTATTGAAACTTAGTAACATATATATAACTTAGTACATGGTCACAACTAGGAACTTACCGTCCGCAGCCTGAGCATCCGAGCCAAATCTGTGTGTGTGGCTCATGATCTCCCCATCCTGCAAGCAATCCATACTAATATCATCAATTAGGAAAACGAGCAGGTTACAAACAGTATAACTGAAACACATACTTCACCGGTTCTACCTCCTGCTCGGGCGACATAGCCGTCTCGTCGTGCGCATAGTCCACGATTGCAAGCGCCCCGCGCCGTGGTGGGCGCGGCAGGTCGGCCGGCGGCGCGGAGGATGGTCCCCGTAGCGGGGAGGGGGACGACACTGCAAAGGGCGACGAAGAGCGCCGCGTGGGAAGTGGCGGAAGTAGCCCCCGCGCCGGGGAAGGGTGGGGACTCGCTAGGGTTTTGAGACCGGCCGACTCCTCGGGACGGGGCGGCGACGGAGGCGCCAGGGAAGGGTTAGGGTCCTCCGCCCCGGCTTGTGGGGACGGCGGCGAGGAGGAGGGGACGGCCGCGGGCGGCGCTGGGGAAGGTGGGTTGGGCTCGTCGGCGTCCTCCTCTTCCTCGTCGTCGTTGTACATCGAGAAGAGGGCGGCGATGCCCTCGGTATCGGACGCCATGGCGAGGACGGAGATTGAGGAGGGAAGGGTTGGATTTGGGGACGATGCGGAAGCGAGGGCCGAAAGCCCGAAACGGCGAGGAAGGAGGCGGAGGATTTCGGGGTAGCAGCAGTTTTGGCGAGTCAGTGTGCGTGGTTGAGCCGTGGATGTGAGAAAAAGGGCTGTGAGCGGTAGGAAAGTGAAAGCTATTTGGTTAAACAAGTATAAAATATATTTTTTATCTTTATTTTTTTTGAAATAACTATGGAAGAGCTTTTTATTCCACTAATTTTAAAAAGCAGAAAGCTAAAAGCCAAAAGAAGGGTCAAACCAGCTTTTAAAAATGTACTACGGAAAAGCAGCTGCTTCTGAAAAAGCCGCCTGGAAAAGCAGCCTCTTTGGTTGGGCTTTTGGCTTTTGGGGCGAAAAGCCAAATCCAAAAGCCCAACCAAACGTACTCTCAAACAATGATGGCACGAGGTGCACGTCCCATGTTGTTCAATCAAACCTAAAAGGTGTCATTCTCGAATCTCGAAGAAATCAATCATTTTCAATTTAAATATATATAACAATTAACTCATATACTCCCTTCATTTCTTTTTACATGTCACATTAGTTTTGTTCTAAATCAAATAGTACTATTTTTTACCATCCATTTAAATAAACCTTTATATTTTTACAACATATAAATTTATATATTATGAAAGTAATACTCATGGTGAATCTAAAGATATATATATCTTATAGGATCCTATCTTATATCATGAATCTATATATTTTTTTTAAATGGATAGTCAAAAACACAAATATTTAATTTAGGACAAAGCTAATACGACGTGTAAACAAAATAGAGGGATTAGTTATCATACAAGAGAGTTGCGATCAACAAGAATAGAGCGAGCAAGAGTAAGACAAAGCGTCAATTAATCCATGTTGGAGCACCGAGAGTTACCAAAAATTCGGTGATACCCTCATCCATTAGTGAATATCCTTTTGCGACTCCGATATGGTGGGTTTCAATGCCATACATATCTTTTGGAGGCTCCTTACAATAGCTCCACTGAGAAAGGTCACCAAAAGACTTGGATTTGCAAAAAACCTTTTCAATCAGGCTATTATTAAAATAATGGATAAAAATATTTTAAAAAACTCTATAATAAATAAGATGGCACTATTTATTATTTTCTACTCTCTTCGCCTTGAAATATAAATATCGAAGGTTTAAAATGTATCTTAGATTGTAAGGTATTCTGAATTGCTCAACCTCCTCCATACGTGTCCGTCTTTTAAAATCCATCTATGAATGACTGTTGAACATGTTACCAAGAATGACTCATGTAAGTTTTTTTACGACAAACATGCTTTATTTCAATAGCATCTAGCTGTTAACGGACTTACAGAGTACAAGGGTACAGAATGCAGTGCATCCGTTAATGGGCACTGTGAAACATGAGGTGTGTTCGAATAAACACACGCTAGACTTAGAGAAGGCAAATGAGAATCCGAAAGAGCCTGTGTTCGAATAAACACACGCTAGACTTAGAGAAGGCAAATGAGAATCTGAAAGAGCCTGTCTAGCTAGTCTGTCTGTCGTTTGGTTCTGAGTCCTCCGGATCTTTGAAATTCTTGTGCTCTCTTTGTCTTGTGTAGTTACTGAAAAGCTGAGTAAAGTGTTTGACCCTCCTATCCGTGGTGTTGGTTTGATAGAGGCATTCACGAAGTGCACAAGCTGTTCAATGACAATAAATTTATGTCCTGCAGATTGAAGCGGTCGGTGATAATTGCAGCTAGCGCCAGAGCAGCAGCTTTCGCCATCAGGACAGATGTTGACTCTGTCACACCGCCTTGATGTTGTAGATGGTTCGAGTCGGTTGCACCTAGGTGTTGATGATGAAGACTCCAATTCTAGTCCTTCTTGGCAGAAGGGCGGGAAGATCAGGCGAAGTTGATGCATCAGTGTAGCATCTGATGCCTTGTAGTAGTCCAGAAAGTTGGACTGTGTATGTGTCCAGCGAGCTCCTCCCGTATCTGTCCGCCTAAAACATTGTTGATGACTCATGTAAGTTGGTACCGTAATAAGTAGCATGCACGCCTGCCTTTTAAAATTATGCCTTATTTAGAAATTATAAGCAAGCTAACAACCAAACTAATTAATGATGATGAGCAAATTATTAGGGTTTTTTTAACAGACTTTAGTTAGCTTGTATTTCAAAACGGATAGAGTAACCTCTCGATCCATCATCAGCACGAAAGGGTTCGTTTCTGTTTGCTCTATTTTAGCGATTGCCATTTTATCTAAAAGAAAACAGATTTAGCGATTGCAGCACGAGCACGACAAAATCTGGGACAAGCTAGCGAGAGACAGGCTTTGCTTTTGCCATACTACTCGACTACACTAGTGCAGCATCTCCGCGATCAGTCATGTGGGCTTTCCATAACAGGTGAATTTCACACGAGCCCTTCTGAACGGGCAAACAAACCTGTGGCTCCGCAAAGCTTCCCTTCGCAGCAGCTACAAAGTAGTAGTACAAACAGTTGCCAGGCACTCCCGGTTTCCCTTTTTTCGCATTATTAGGCGAGGTTTGTCCATCCTGCAAACATGCAGCATGTTCGTTTGCTCGTAAACAATCGTAAATTTTCAGTCGGGAACAGTGTTTTTCTCTCACACCAAATCAGCCAGCAGTAAATAATCCACGATACGATACGACCTTCCGAACAGACTGATGGAGAGAAATTCCCCGCGATGCGCGCTCATCCCGTCGCGGACGCCAGGGATGGACCGCGACGCCTGCGCCGGAGATAGACACCGTTTGTGGCTCGTGACCGCGTGAGATGCCGAGCCTTTCGTTTTCCGTAGCCCGGTTCTGGCGTCCGTCTCTTTTCGTTGCTTGTCTATATCACGAACACTCCACGCTTTTTTGTTTAGGCCCTGTTTCGTTTGGGTTTATATGGTTTATAAGGTATGGCTGAAAGTACTGTTGGTTAATTTAGTGTGAGAGAAAAATAATATTTATTGACTGACAAGGCTAGGGCGTGCCAGCGATCGATTGTGGCACGGAGAAAATGACGCGCGCGGGGCGTGTGTTTAACTTGTTGCGTGGGCGCTAAAGTTCGCAGCGAAATGTAGCACGCAAAGCCAGTACTGGTGATGGTGGTCAGGCAGGGTCACACATTTTTTCCCCTAGAGGTTTATTCGAAGTGTTCCATGATCATAATTAATAATACTATAACTCATAGAGCCACGCCGTAGACCGTACTTAACAACGTCACGTTCTCGTTTGGGCTTGTTTAACCTTATAAATTTTACTTTTTGAATCAACGAATAATATTTTTCTCTCCCTCCAAATCAGCGCAGTACTTTCAGTCATGACTTATCAACTGACAAATATAACGAACAGGACGTAAGAACAAGTGACGCCATATAAAACGATGGGATGCGGTGTGGTGTTTTCACGTCTACCTGTGGCTACGAGCTGCCACTGCAACTGCAAGCACACGGTTTCCCGGTGCGTTTCCATTTCGGTACGTTGGCAGGATCGCGCCTCTCTGTGGCTCAGGCAGCAGGTTGTATATCCCGACGCGAACGCACGAGCTCGCTTGGTCGGTCGTCCGTTCACGACTTCACCAGTCACGACGCGACCCCATATCTGGGGTGGTAGGAGAAGAACCCAAGCTGCGCGCGAGGACCGCACCGTCGTCCCCGATGACTTGCCCCTGTATCGGTCGCTCGAGACGCTACACCTGTCCGCTCTCTCGCCAGCTCGACCACTGCCGGCGCTCCACGCATACCGCGGTGTCGCCACCTCACCCAACCCCGATATTTACTTGCATACTAAAAAAAACCTTAATAATGTGGCAGTAGTACAGTTTTCGTTTGCTTAACGATGGAAGAGTGCTGGATACACGGTTACACCACGTACACCTGACGCGTGCGTCAAGGTGCTCAAGGCGTCAACCTAACAACGGTGCTGCAGCGCGTGAGGTGTGAGCACCAAGTGGGATACAGGATACAGCTAGCATATTCAGTTAGGGATGGATCCGACCGATGGAGTAGTCGAGTGGAAAGGGGTTCCCGAAACAACGGCACCGGCCTTCTCAGAAACGTGAATAGGAAATGGAGTGTTCATGTTCACGTACACGAAGAGAGGCACCGGCTTGCTGCTTAGTCAACTTTGCTTGTTAGCATTGCACCGAATATGGCATATGATTTTATTCCAATAGCGCATTGCTTTGATAGTAGTATTAGATAGATAAAAGGTTAAAGCTTGAAAAAACAAATGGACAGATAGAAAAGTTTCATTTTTTAAAGAACCAAACAATGTGACTTGAGTATACTCACCTAATTGAGTTTCTCGTGGTGGAACCTACCCACCCACTCTCTCTTTACCCCAAAAAAGGTAAAGCTATATGGCACTCGAGTGTTTCACGCGCTGTCCGCACTCGATTCCTTCCTGGCTGTCGGATCCATCGCCAATGCCTGCAGATCCGCCTCTCATGTTCATCTTCTCTAAGTCCGACAACCTTACAAAGGGAGCTTCGGGAAGGTAGGCGGGGCAGGCGGTGGGGACAACTTCCGAGCGGTTAGGGGCCCTGGCGGCGGATGGAGGCAAGCGGGCTAGGTTGGGGTGGGGCGCCCATGGCCGAGCTTGCCGCGGAAGAAGGAGGGAGGATGGGAGAAGGAGGCCGCAGCGGCCAGCCGCAGAGCTCCAGCGAAAACTTAGCACCGCCGCGGGGCGGTGGGCGACGATGGGGACAAGGAGGAAGATGAACAGTACAAACAAAATCGAGTGTTCCTCCCCAAAACACTCAAACTGACAAACTAAAAAAAAAACAACCAATCCAATGTTACCGAAAAAAACCACAGCCGCAGAGCTCCGGTGAGACTCTAGTGCGGCCTCGGCGGAGAGTGATAGGTGAGAGGAAGATGGGCATAAAAAAAATCTGAGTGTTTCTCCCCCAAAACACTCAAACCTCGTGTATTCAGACTGAAAAAAAAAACTATCGCAAAAAACAAACAAACAATGCAACCGAAAAAAAAACCAACGCAATCACGCGCATCACGATGCCTAAACACGGAAACGGCGAGGGCATAACAGGGCCACAACAGAGAAAAGCAGTACAACAAGAAACCACCCACGGCCGACATGGACCCAGCTCAGCAAAACACGGAAACGGCGAGGGCATAAAGCAAAAGCACCCACACACACACCGGACTCCGGAAAAACTACAATACACAAACGAAACGAGCAGACGAAAAATCTGCCCACCCAAGCAGAAGCCGATAAAAATAGATGTCGAAACTATTTATCTATAGCGCTATTTAAAGGAAAGATGAGTGTTGTATTTTAGGTCATGTTTGTTGGAGATAGTTCACAGAAGATCTATTGTGAAACCCAAATTTAAAATAGGTCTTCAACGTTATACTTATAGTCTACCGTAAAGTATCTATATGGAAGATCCATTTTAAATGACGAAAGATGTATAATCTAAATTTAAATATCATCTATCCTGAAGACTTATTTGTAGAAAGAATTATCTTTTATGTTTTGTTATTGTAGAAGACTGAAAATCTGTATTTAACTTTTTGTCAGTTGCGTTATTCAAGATATGAATAGGTTATTTTGGGTCGCGGTCCTCGGAGACGGTCCGAGAACGCGACAGGCTGCGCGAGGGAGAGAGAGAGAGGGGAAGAGAGAGCAGAGCAGCGCAGCTACACAGAATTGTTATCGCAACTTCGCTGCCTGCCTCCGCTGCCGGCCGCACTACCTAATCCCCGCGCTCGTTTCCCCACCGTCCGATGGCCGCCGTCACGCCCCCGCCGCAGTCGGACCCGCCGCCTAAGACGGGGCGCCCGGCCTCGTCCGCCGCCGCCGCCGCCGCGGCCGCGGCCAAGGGAGGAGGGGGCGGGGCGGGCGCCGCCAGGGGGCTGCTGATGGGGAAGTACGAGCTGGGGCGCCTCCTGGGGCACGGCACCTTCGCGAAGGTGTACTACGCGCGGCACATCGGCACGGGGGACAACGTTGCCATCAAGGTGCTTGACAAGGAGAAGGCCGTGAAGAGCGGGCTCGTCCCGCACATCAAGCGCGAGATCGCCGTGCTGCGCCGCGTGCGCCACCCGAACATCGTGCACCTGTTCGAGGTTATGGCCACGAAGACTAAGATCTACTTCGTCATGGAGCTCGTGCGCGGCGGCGAGCTCTTCTCCCGCGTCTCCAAGGGCCGACTCAGGGAGGACACCGCGCGCCGCTACTTCCAGCAACTCGTCTCCGCCGTGGGGTTCTGCCACGCCCGCGGCGTCTTCCACCGGGACCTCAAGCCCGAGAACCTCCTCGTTGACGACCGCGGGAACCTCAAGGTATCGGACTTTGGACTCTCCGCCGTCGCCGACCAGTTCCGTCCCGACGGTCTGCTCCACACCTTCTGCGGCACGCCGGCATATGTGGCCCCCGAAGTGCTCGGCCGCCGCGGGTACGACGGCGCCAAGGCCGACGTGTGGTCGTGCGGTGTCATCCTCTTTGTGCTCATGGCCGGGTATCTCCCTTTCCATGACAAGAACATCATGGCCATGTACAAGAAGATTTACAAGGGCGAGTTCCGCTGTGCGAGGTGGTTCTCCAAAGACCTTACCAGCTTGCTGACGCGCATTCTTGACACTAACCCCAACACTCGGATCACTTTGCCGGAGATCATGGAGTCGCGCTGGTTCAAGAAAGGATTCAAGCCTGTCAAGTTCTATATCGAGGATGACCAGCTGCATAAAGTTATAGATGATGAGGATGGCCTGTTGGATATGGGACCGGCTGGTCCTGTTCCTCCACCATTGCCACCTCCACCACCGCCTCTACCTCCGCCAAAGGTTGATGGTGATGAATCAGGGTCGGACTCAGACTCGTCGATCTCATCCTGCCCTGCTTCTGTGTTATCTAATGAGAGCCAAAGGCCCCGTGGCTCGCTCCCACGTCCAGCAAGCCTTAATGCATTCGATATCATATCATTCTCAAGGGAATTTAACTTATCAGGGTTATTTGAGGAGAAAGGGGATGAAGTGAGGTTCATCTCGGCTGAGCCCATGTCGGATATCATAACGAAATTGGAGGACATTGCAAAGCTGAAGAGTTTCAAGCTGCGGAGGAAGGACTGGCGGATCTGCCTGGAGGGTACAAGGGAAGGAGTTAAGGGGCCATTAACAATTGGCGCGGAGATATTTGAACTCACACCTCCCCTTGTAATGGTGGAGGTAAAAAAGAAGGCAGGGGATAATGAAGAGTACGAGGACTTCTGCAACAAGGAATTGAAGCCAGGGATGCAGCACCTTGTCCACCATACGGTCCGAGCTCCAAGTATGCTTACCGATGCCGAGTAGGTAGAAAGGTAGTAAATTTCCTTCACCTTTTCTTATGATGTTACTGATGCCATTCCTAATAATATTTTTAACAATATTTATTTGCATGATCCAACCTCTGTAGATTAAAATCACATGTGTTCTACTTATGCTAATTCAAGCATGATATGTTTGCTTTGCTAATTCTGTGTGAACAGTCATGAATTTCTTGGCCCAGATATTCTCTTGCTAGTCTTTGAACATACTAGTTTTTGATAATTGCTTGTTGGAAACAAGCGAGGTCTGGAATTGTCTGCAGAATGATTACTTAAAATGTATCACCGCTTGATCAAAATTAAAATTTATATACCATGTTCTAGTGGTTCTGCAGTTGCTTAACAGTTGATTTCTTTATTTCTAGGTATAGGTCACATGCTGGCTTCACTAAGATCCATGCATTATGAACACATGTCACGGGCACAAGTTATCTTTGGCATCCCAATTGATTAGTTTTTCGCCTAGCTTGATTGGATCTCTATTTTCTGTAGCTATTAGTTAGACCAGGACATTTTTCTATATCACATCTTCACTTTTAAAAGCTTCTGTTGTGATTATCCACATTCTGTTGAAACTTACCTTCTCAGCTCGCAAGTAAAAATACAATGAACTTATTTTATGTTCTTATGCCAGCATTACTTCCATAATACTGCTGTTGCATCTAGTTGTGAGTAATCTACACCCCCTTTGTTACTGAATGTTATCAAAAATAAAGGAAGAAGGAGGGGCTCGTTCCTTTTATTCCATAAGGAAACTTTCTCAGAAGGTTTCGAGCATGCTAGTCCAAATTTGGGAACTTTAGGGTGCATTTGGTTCCTCAACCAAACCTTGCCTACCCTTGCTGAGCAAGGATTTGATGCTGCTGCTGCTGCACTTGGATGTTTGGCTAGCTTTGTCTCAGTTCTCGTGCTAGCAAGAATTTCCAACGTTTCAGCTTGCTACCAGCGGTGAGCCAAAATGGCTCTCCTGGGGAAGCAAGTTTCTTGGAGCTTGTGCTGGTAGGGTAAAATAATCTTGCTTGGGAACCAAACGTCTTATACTCTCTGTAGATAAACAATTCAGGTTTATGCGGTGTATCGCTTTTATCCCTCTATCATAAATTACAGTTACAGTGATGTTATGACTTCTTCCTGCATTAGAGTTATTCAGGTTTACTTGTGCGATGATGGCAGTAGGTTGTATTCACCATTTATTGTATGTCAGGAGCTGATTTGTGGGGTTTGTACTTTGTACATTGGTGGCTTTATGTTAAATTTCCTCATTGTTGCATTATTGATCCATAATCATCATCTGTGTGCACACATCTACCTTTTTGGATCCATGTTGATCACTTAATTTGACAAATACAGTCATAATTATAATGAAAAACATGGATCACATTAGCACAACCAAATCTTACGCATATCTGCAGCCACAATCAGGAGTTGCTACTTTCTTGGTCAGCTTAGTTGAATGAAAATTTAAGCATGATTAATCCTTCCAGGCACACACAAAAAAAAACATCATTTGAGCTTCTTTTTCTCTATCAATTGCCCTTTCTTGAACCTGAAGTTTTCTATGTCTTAAATCAGTCTGCCTAATGTTCTTCACATAAATAATTGGATCCGGTAGTAATACTATCATCCACTGGGATCATATAGTTATTAGTTCCGGCACATGGAAATATTTTGATTGTTCAGCTGTAGGTTTATTTAGGTATAGTATCAACGGATTTAAACTTCCTTTGCGGCCCGATGGGGCATATGAATATTAAAGCTTTGCAGGGTAATGTGATTGTATTTAGATGCACAAATTTCCTGATAGGTTATAAAAAAAATGGTTTGCTTGTCATGGATCAGCATGGATGTTTATTACGATTTCTGAAACTTGTGACAGGACTGCAGAATCGATTGCTTTATTATCTGACCATTTCCTTTGCTCACTGCAGGCTTTGAACTTAACAACAGCACTTCGCACGGAGCTACTGGTAACAGGAGTGACATTCGGAGTGGCATGAGGCTAGAGACACAGTTGAGCACAGCACAGCTGACCAGAAGAGATCGTAGTCGGAACAAAAATCTTGACCAGTTCCACACCACTGTAGTTCCGCAGATGATGAGCTCGACATCTCTTGACTGAATAACTTCTGTTCTCCACGAGGGCAAACAATGCCCGCCATGGCAGAGGGAGACTGGATGTAGTACATACTCCGGTGTCTTTGTTGGTACCTGAGGTTAAGTTGTTGCTGAATGTTGTTGTATCGCTGGTGGTGTAGTCCTGCTATTGGTTGTAGGCGCGCAGCAGGATAATAATAATAATTTGGTTAAGCTCTGTTCGGCTGGCTGAAAAAAAGACTGCTGATTCTGATGTTGATTTGTTATCGAGAAAAACACTATTTTACGAATGAAAAGTAGCGCCCATAGGTTCAAGCGAACCATAAATCAGGTGCATCCTGGACCGGCACATCCGCACATGCTCAGCTCTGGCCTGATTGGGATTCCGAATCTTCGATTTCTGATTCCGCATAATTGTACAGTCCCGATTTGGAGAGGCGCTGATGTTTCGGACTCTGCAGGAGTCGTCTACCAGGGACAGGGAGGCCGGATTGGCAGGGAGTGCGGCAGCCCTAGTCGAGCACGTGAGCCGGCGTTGGGGCTGGGTGGCCTACCCACCGGCGCGCGTGGGCTGCCGGGCCCGACCAAGAAAGCGCCGTGTGCGGCTACGCGGGGCTCGGAGTTGGGCCCCCCACTTTTGTTGCTGCGCGCCTGCAGAGATAAAGATCGCATAATTATCGTGATGAATGGGTTTTGTGTCGCCGTCCTATCTGTGACCGTGTTCTTTTTTCTGGATTCGCCGATAAGCACAATCGGTGATACTGACACTGACATGCGAGCGATGAAGAATGGAACTGCAAGGGCCGCGGATATGTCTGATATGGGTGGTGCTAAACTTGTTAGAGCATCTCCCTTGGTTTTTAGCGAGAGAGAGAAAAAACCTCTCCAGCAACTTCTGATTCATCCTCCTAATCTTTTATAATTTGAGAAAAGTCATCATGTTCCGCGTAAAGTTACGAGCTTCCGAGTCACGTATATCTTCTCTCTCCCGAGTGTGTTTGTCGGCCAATCTAAAAGTGAAAGTGCGTGGAAAGAATAAAGAGTACGAAATGATTTTCTTATGCAAATGTACAAGAGAGAAATAATATATAAAAGTGGTTAGGATAATTTAGAAATAGTATAGTTCTTCTATATTTTAGGAGTGATCTATATTTTAGGAGTGGATTATTAGAAGCTCTTGAAAATGGTATTCTTTATTCATTTTAATATTTTTTTATGAATTGTAAAACTTCGTAATTTTAGGAAGAAAATATTAAGTACTCTTGAAGATGCTCTTAGAACCTTGTCGATGTATTTGCTGGGATGAAATGTCGTAAACAATACTTCTCAACTCTAGTTTCTTACAAATTATTATCAAAGACAATGAGGTTGCCTTCTTCTGTTTTCTTTTTCTTTTTTCGAAAATGAATGAAGATACTTCGAGAGCCTATGTTTTCAGAACATCTACGACTGCAGGTAGTACTCGTATTCACTGGGCCATGTACTGGCTAATGAAACTTTCACTGAAACGAATTGTACACGCTATAACAATTGGCATATGATGTTCGTCCGATCCATATCTCAACTCTCCATCCGAAGGACTATTAATAAATGGTGGGGATTGATCTTTAGAGGCGGTGGAACAACTCTGAAGCCACTGGTGGGTTCAGGTGGGTTGGCCGATCCCACCTCTAGCTCCTTCCATGTGAATCTTTGTCATTATATCTTGAACGGTGGATTAGAGCTCATTGGAGTCAGTTTTGTTGCAGGCTTGATTTGTTGAGATAACATGGCCTACTTGGTCCGTTTTCTGAATAAACCCTCCTGCATTCACAGAATCACCAAAATCTGTGGAAATAATTAGTTCAAACCACTACACTTATGTTGATGATTGATTTTAAGGATAAGTGCATGTTATATTGACGGTTTATGATTGTCATTAATGACCGTCAACAAGTCCCCCAAACTTAATCTTTGCTCGTCCCTGAGAAAAGCCTAAACTTTAAACAGTGGATTATGAGTTGCTACAATGTTTCACATTTCAAGAGTACCACATGTACAACAAACATATTTCTCTTTTGTATGGAAACATTAGCAATATGAAAATTCACCCATATTACCTTAGTCCTTTATGGGGCATATGACTTTTTTCCTTTGTCTTGGGTGGTTGAGAGACATAACAACTTTTGACTTGAACACTATTTTTCTCATTCCGCATAATTTTCATATCGGAGGTTTTTGATATTTTTCAAAAGAAAACTTAATGTTCTTAAATGGTACTCTCATGTTGCTCAAATGGTGTATGATTCCTCACCAAGGCATATTTTTGAAATTACCTTCTCATCCTACTTCTATAAGGCTTATATGGAGCTTAGGTATGGATAAAATATGTAGCATACTTACCTTGTATATATTGTAAAGCCAAATCCCGAATCTAAGAAGAGAAGTGTCGTACTCGTAGATCAAGATATGCATGTGTATGAATATATAGTGGACATATATGATGGATAAATAAAACTTATTATGCTCCTTAAAACATATCTCTCTTGGAATATATTTTGTGAGAACATGAGCTATCTTGTTCTCATCTTTCTTTTTCTCATTCTTTCGTTTTTCTTTCTTCTCTTTTTTTAATAAGAACCTCATGCCTCTTTTTTCAATAAAATTTTGAGAGAGATATTATCAAGAACTTGGAGCATTTATTTTGATGGAACCTAACAGGCATGTTTTGCCTATTTCCAGTGTAGTAGTAGAATATTTTTGGGTGGATCTAAATGAAAAACATGTTTTTACGTACTTCCAGTGTAGAAGCAACATATATATGTAGTGTGTATGTGATCTAGATCTTTCGAGCATGATAAATCTCTTAAACAAGGGTCAACAAGACTTGACAAAGCTCAATACAAAGCAATCAACTTATGTAGAAAGCTTATATCATGAAAGATCATATATGACTTTGGTAGGAATTTATCATCATCGAGGAACAATTTTTTCATTATTTTAAGAAATAAATCTTCGATAATCATACATGTTTGGAACAATATTATACCAGCTTTTGTCTCACTATATCATATCTCACAACAACTTAAACTCAGTTACAACACTTGCAACCCACAAAGTTTTAGGTACATGATGGTTTCATATGAGCCAAGTTATCATATCTCACAACAACTTAAACTCAGTTACAACACTTGCAACCCACAAAGTTTTAGGTACATGATGGTTTCATATGAGCCAAGTAATCCATACTTAGAGAAATATCAAGCTGTAAACTAGGTACTAGAGAAACATTAATAGATCAACTATTCATCATTTTCGTAAAGAAAAAATAGACATTCATAAGATATAAATAAACAAAGGGAAATATTTTTGGCATTTTTATCATATTCAATTTTTTTTATAATGCATTGCAATAATAAAGAAATAAAATTATCTAAGGTGCACATGCAAGGAAAGAAATACTTACCTTATTGGGGAGAAGGAACCTCCCTCAAGCTTGTCTTTCACTCATGGTTGTGGTGGATCCATCCCATGGTATGTCCAGAAAGCTCTCCAATTGTGGGTTTGCTCGCGTTGCATGGCCATGATGAGTTGGCGATTTTGAGCAACATCACCACGTATGGCTTGTTGTTCCACACGCATCTCACTCAATTGATGGGTGAGTTGGTGCATGTCCCGCGTCAAACCAGGATAGACCTCGTCTTGTGTTTTCGAGCAAGAAGCTCGCGCACGTCTTGTGCGTAAAGGACGTGGTGGACGTGTCCCGCTTGAGCTTGTGCTGTGCCTGGAGTTTGATGTTTCCTCCTCATCAGCAAAGTGAAGTCCCGGAGCTCAGGATGTGTCGTCTTGTGTGGCGTTCGCCATGCTGCGCGTCATCCGTCGACCTATGCTAGTTCCTGCAAAATTACCTTGCACCTCTCCTTGGTCCAAATGAATTGTTAGTTGGTTGACCCGATACAACCAAAGATCCGCACATGGAAGTGGGATTATGGTTATATGGCCATGATAAATCATTTTCATAGAATTATTTAGACCTTTCTTTAGCATATGACCTTGCTTAAAATATTCAAAATTGATTAAGCTCCTAGGTGTGGTAATATATTGCACAGGATTATTTATTAGTACACCCATTAAGTCGGCAATTCTAGAAATCAAAGAAGCAAATTCAATTGGTCCTTTTCTTTCCGACACACTTAGCCAATGTGCAACCATAGCTTTCACAGGTGAAACATGAATTTTGTGAACCATAACATACAGTACTCTCATGTCATCATTTTTAACAACTCTAACATCATCACGTGGAAATAAAGTTATGCCAATCCAACGATGCATGAAACGCAGAGTTGGGTTGTGAATATCATTGGTTCGTGGTCTAAAACATTCATTAAGTTCGGTTATATCATGCCAAAATTCAAATTTATCAAAATCATGAGTGGCAGATTCAAGATCTATATTGCACGAATGAGCAAAACCCAGCGCAGCACTTAAATTAGTCCATGTGAAGTTATAATCATAATTAAACATCCGAAAATAAACTCCATCATCAGAGGCTTGTAAAGTGCTCAAAAATTCTAGAGTGAGGGTTTCACTACCTAGATCATGAGAGAAGTCCCAAAAAGTACTCCATCCAATGTCATTAAAGATAGAATCAAATTCTACGTCCATACCTGTTTTAGCAAGTAGTGATGGGTCAAATACCTTAGTATGTTCAAAGGTGCGTGTTTGGAGTTTGGTGAAGATGAGGTACTCTTGTGGCGTGTGTAAGGGACCGTGACGCCTAAAGGGGGGGGGTGAATTAGGCAACTTAAAACTCTAACTCTAAACTATGACCTCTTTTTCTATCCTTAGCAAAAACCTATACAAAAGATAAACTATCTAGATGTGCAACTACGGTTTTGCTAGTGTGTTACTATCTCTACCGTAAAAAGGAGTTATGCAACCTAGGTTCCAAACCTATCAACTAGCCTATCACTAAACTAGGAAAGTAAAGCACAAACCAAGATTGCAATGTAAATGCGCAAGCTGAATAGTAAGGTAGAGATATGC